ATTGTGTTGTATACCTACAATGTACCAATAAAAGAATTTAATAAAAACAAAAAGAAAAAAAACCAGACACGGTGTCCATGTCCGGGCGCCAGGCTGTAAGGTGAGACAGCAGCGGCCGCCTTGCTCCTGTCTCCGTTGTGGGACACACCTCAGTACCTTCCACTTGTGAGACGGGGTGGCGCCACTAAGCTAAATCCTGGGCCCTAAAAACACCATTGGTAAACTATTTGGATGTGAATTTTCAGAAATTAGGAAGGGAAATGAAATAAAGTAGCTGTGCCTCACGGGCACCTCCATGACACTGTCTGCAGCAGGTCAAGAGGCCTGGCCACCAGAACTGTGCACTGCGCACTCACCGACTCCTTGGTGGTCAGGCCTGACACCACCATGGAGAGCCTCCTGCGGCCCCCTCCCACCGAGGACAAGGATTCGGGCTCCTCCCTGCTCACAGCTTCTTCCTTGGAAGCACCCCTGGCAGGATTGGAAGTCTGAGCGGCAGCAGGGGTCCCAGCAGGTTCTGCAACTTGGAATGGGGATAAGGTCAGTGCCGAGGTCGGGGTTGGCACCAGCGCCCTGCAGACGTGAGCAGGCTCTGGGGCTCTGTCTTCAGAGGCCTCAGGTTCTGGGTTATCTGAGAAGAGGCCGGCTCCAGATGTCAGGTGTGTGTGGGGGGGAGTTTGGGCACCCACTGCAGGGAACAGAAGTTTAATTTACATGACAAGGACTCTGTAGCAGCCAGGCTCCAGTCTTTGCTAAGAATGAAGAAGCATGCAATTAGGATGAGAGAAGAAATGGGCACACAGATAAGTACCATATTGCCTCACGGAGCAAAACCGTAACCCATGTTTGCGCTTTCTAATTTCAGAAACACATCCTAAGGAATAATGCAAAAGTTCAGCCAGCCACATGTTCACTGCAACACTGTGATTTAAGAAATGACCTAGGTGTCCAATGTGATTAATCTACCAAACATCTATTCCAACAGCATACACTTCACCCGCTATAAATTTTTTTTTTTTTTTTTTTTTGGTTTTTTGAGACAAGGTCCTCCTATGTAGTTCAGGCTGGCCTTGAACTTGTGGCAATCCTCCTGCCTCAGCCTCCCAAGTGCTGGGATCACAGGTACGTGCTACCATGCTTAGCCATTATTTTATTTTTATTGATTGATTGAGACAGGGTCTCATTACACTGCCCAGGCTGGGCTTAACTCCTGGGCTCAAACCATCCTCTTGCCTCAGCCCCAGCACCCCACCACCCCCAGTGCTGGGATGACAGATGTGTGCCATTACGCCTGGCTTAACCCTCATTTTAATTTATGACTCTATTTTTGTTTCACCACCCATGACAACACCATTACTTTTTCTAACTCATAAATCAACATATATGATCACCAAATTGAGAAGAGAAAGGACACTGCCCCTAACACATGTGAGATATGTCACTCTGTGAGGAATTAAGCTGCTCATTAGAAGGCATGAGGCCCCTAAAATGCCCTGCGGAACACAGCCACATCCCACACTCAACACCAGAGAGCGCCTTTTAGGATAAGGTGCTCTCGAGGATTAATTAAAAACTTACTTTCCTGATTAAAAGTTTGATTTACAAGCCATAAAATATTCCATTCATCAGAAGTGACTTATAACGCATAAAATACAGTCATTTGTATGCATTCATTTACTGAATTAAGAGCTTGCTTTGGATTTGACTTTTTCAACAAAGGACAGGCCTAAAACTTTATTCTAGGTAGGGCCTTAGAACACTTTTCTAATAGTTGGAGTAAAACATTTAGACTACACCAAGACTTTCCCAGCCTCAAAACTCAACAGAGGGCCAGGGATGCAGCTCAGTGGCACCAGGCCTACCTGGCAAGTGCAAGGTCCTGAGTCCAATCCCCGGTACCAAAAACAAAACAAAACAAAAACCACCTCAAAATAGAGAAAGATTAAGAGTTGCAATGATTTTCAAGTAAACTTAGATTAACACTCAAGTTTTTTTGGGTGGGGAGGTACTAGGGATTGAACTCGGGACCTTGCACTTGTGAGGCAGGCGCTAGAATTTTTCTTTTTTTAAAAAACAGGGTCTCATTATGTAGCCTAGGCTGGGCTCAAACTTGAAGCAATTCTTCTGCCTCAGCCTCTTGAGTGGTGGTATCACAGGTGTGCAGCACCACACCCAGCAACACTAAAATTAGTTTTAAAAGACGGGCTTAAATATAACAGGCACCCACAGCAGATTCGTCCACCTGAAAGTTGATTAGCAGAACATCTCACTGCATTTTTCTGCCAGGGTACAGTGAGTATTACCTAGCTCCCGCCTTGGCAAATGAGCCAGTGCTGTCGCATGATGTGGCCCAGACTCTCCCAGCTCCTCCTCCTCCTCCAGCTGCTCTGGAGCCGGGCAGCCTCTGTCCCTCAGCCTCCTGGGCTGGCTGTGTGCAGACCACTGACTGTCAGCCACCTGGGCCTCAGGAGGGGACGACCTGGAAAGATGAGGGGAGGGAAAACCATCACCACCAGGGCTGAAGATACACCATGTTCCTGGAGGTGAGACACAAGTGAAGTGGCTCACTGTCGGGGAAATGAGGAGTGAAGCCCGTACCACAGGCTGGACACTGGGATCCTGCCATCACCCCCAAGGCAGGGCTGACTGACGGTGCTCCTTGAGGCTGGTGGAGAGCTGCTCTGGAGCCCAGCAGCAACTCCTCCGTCACCTGCTGCCACTCAAATCCTGCACACGCCTGACCCGAGTTCAAAGGGATGAGGAGTCCAGAGACAGGAAGTTGAGTAACGCTGCCGTCTCTATGCTCATTCTTTCTACCCGATTTTGGCAGAATTTATAGAGTCACTCTTCTTCCTTGCCTTTCCTATATCTAAAAATGACACTAACTTAGGCCGAGGGTGCTGCTCTGTTGAGAAGCACTGGCTAACATGCAGGGAGGGGCCGGGGCTGGATCCCCAGCACTAGGGGAAAAGGCCAACTCTTCAATCTTGTTACAAGAACACTGGGCCCAGCAAGCAGTTCTTCTATTCTTCCAGCTAGTTTGGACTTTGCAAAATAAGGTAACTATCAGGGCTGGGGATGGAGCTCAGTGGCAGAAGACTTGCTTAGCATGCATGAGGCCCTGGGTTTGATTCCCACAAACCCTAGCATTGAAAGGAAAAAAAAAAGAAGATCATCAATAGGTGGAAAGGGCTCACAGATTAATGAACTGAAATACTTCCTGGGCTCTTACTATGAGCCAGGCATTAAGGCCAGGCCTTGGGACCGAAGATGAGCAGGATCTGAACTGCTGCTCTCAAACAGAGGGAGGAAGCCCATTGGTGTCTGGGCTCCAGGACAGAAATCTCTCCATAGCACCTGTGCAGGGAAGAGGCCCAGGACTGTTTCGTCTATTAAAAGGGGCAGGGCCAGAGTATTTAGCTCAGTGGCACCACACTGGCCTCTCAAGAACAAGGTCCTGAGTTCAATCCCCAGTACTGAAAAAGAATAAACAAAATAAAATATAATGGGCAGTCAGCTCACCTGGTCAAAGCATACAAGGCGGTGGTTTTAGTGCCCATGGAGCCAGGTCGTTTCATTCCTGGTCACATGTACAGGGCCAGTGGCCTAGCCTTAAACACGTATCCTTAGTTCTAGACTCAAGGGCTTGGAAAAGATGGTGTGGTTACTTACTGACAATGCCCGTTCCCCACACTGTAGCTTATACCTGTACTAAAACCCTAACCCAATTAAAGGACATGTCCCACAGCAACGAGAGCTTATAAACGTCAGAGCTCAAAACACTGCAGAAAGTCAGGGAGAAAAAAGTCACCAGTCAGAGTCCAACCTAAGTAAAAATGTGACTTCCATGGCCTCAGCCTGACGTTTCTCACCTTCCAGCTCCTGGCTCCTTATTTTCACTGGCAGGACAATCTGGGGACACTTGGTGCTTGCTGGAAGGACAGGCTTGGAGACTCTGGGTTACAGGATATGCATTACTTCTCCCGGAGGTAAATCCTGCTTTAAGTGGATCAAAAAAACAAAGACATCTATTTTCCTTCTTTGTCCTGGTGATGACAGTTCAGGTGAGGATATTCACTTTTTTGGTGGTGCTGGGGATTGAGCCCAGGGCCTTCACACTGAGCTACAACCCCAGCCCTTTTTTATTTTCAGATAGGCTCTTGCTAAGTTGCCCAGGCTGTGGTTGAACTTGTGATCCTTGGTCTCAGCCTCCTGTAATGCTGAGATTACAGGCGTGCACCACCATGGCTGCCTAGAATATTGATTTTTATTTATTTTTTATTTTATTATTTTTATTTTTTGGTACCGGGGATCAAACTTGGGAGCTTGCGCCTTCGAGGCAGGTGACGGAACCACTGAGCTAAATCCCTGGCCCGATTTTGATTTTTTTTTGGTACCAGGGATCGAACTTGGAACCTTATGCTTGCAAAGCAGGTGGCGGAACCACTGAGCTAAATCTCCAGCCCAAAAATCATTTGTGTTTTTTTGTTTGTTTGTCCTTTTTTTTTTTGGTGCTGGGGATTGAACTCAGGACCTTGTGCTTGCAAAGCAGGCAGTGGAACCACTGAGCTAAATCCCCAGCCCCCGATATTGATTTTTAAAAAGCAGTCACCAGTGAGTATCAAATTTTTCTGTGTGTGGTACTCGGCATTGATTCCATGGGTGCTCTACCACTGAGCTACATCCCTAGCCCTTTTTAAAATTTTGAGGCAGGGTCTCACTAAATTCCCAGGTTATTTTGAACTTATGATCCTCCTGCCTCAGCCTCTCAAATCATTTGGATAACAGGTGTGCATCACTGTGCTTGGCTCAAATTATTTCTTTTTTTGAGATAGGGTCTTGCTATATAGTCCAGGCTGTCCTTGAACTCACTATGTAGCCCAGGATGGCTTTATTTATTTTTTGGTACTGGGGATCGAACTCGGGACCTTGCGGTTCCGAGGCAGGCGCCAGAACCACTGAGCTAAATCCCTGGCCCACAGGATGGCTTTAAACACACAGAGATTCTCCTGCTTCGCCTACCAAGTGCTTAGATTACAGGTATGCACCACCACACCCAACTCAAATTGTTTCTTAAGCAAGTATATAGGGCAGAACTTTAAAGATACAAATAATGTAGCAAATGCTAACACCAAGTGGAATAAATTATTAAAAAATAATAATAAAAGGACCACTTTATTTTTTTTAAATTTTTGGAACCAGAGATCGAACTCGGGACCTTCCACTTTCAAGGCAGGCAGTGGAACCACTGAGCTAAATCCCTGGCCCTGAAAGGACCACTTTAAAACTGGGAAAACAGGGCCAGGGATTTAGCTCAGTGGTTTTGCTGCCTGCTATGCAAGCTCAAGGACTCGAGTTTGATCCCCGGTACCAAAAAAAAGAAAGAAAAAAACTGGGAAAACAAAGACACTCAGCTGAGACAGGGCTGAAAACCTTCTAATTTTGGGGCCCCGAATGATAGGAAAATAAAAATATGTGACAAATTTTTATCTGTGCAGGAAACTAAATTATATCCATATTCCCTCAGGTAACAGGGAAAAGTCCTGGAAAGCACAAAGCATTATATTTTCGCAGCCTCCAAACCAGACTGAGCGAGATGGCTGAACCCCTACATGTGTGGGTATTGCTGGAGTCGGAGAGAAGAGGCAGGTGACATGTGCTCCACATGCCCCATTGCTAGAAAAGAAAATCAGAACACAAACAAAAACTCCAAAACTAAAAAAAAAAACAAACACACACAGTGCTCCTTGGTAAGGAACCCTGAAGTAATAGAAGACATGAGTGGTGAAGTGGTGCCAGAAGGGGAAAAGCATGACAGATGTCAAAGTTCTGGCCTGTCAGAACATTCTTTGTCTTATATTGACTGATTTCTTTTTCTTTTTCTTTTGGTACTGGGGATCCAATTCGGGACTTTGCGCTTTCGAGGCAGGCGCCGGAACCACTGAGCTAATCCCCGCCCCATGACTGATTTATTTTTGCAGCAGTTGGAACTAAACCCAGTCAGGGACTCGTGAGTGCTAGGCAAGCACATCAGCAGGGACCTGCGTTCCCAGCCCCTTTCACTGCATTCTGAGACGAGGTCTTGCTGAGTTCCTTGGGCTGGGCTTGAACCTGCCATCCTCTTGGCTTAGACTCCTGAGTAGCTGAAGTTTCAGGTCTGTGCTGCTGTGCCTCTTTCTATTTATTAATTCCTCCAAATGTATGTGCTACTGCCTTCTGGGAAGAAGAAATGTTTGCATAGCAAAAACAAAGTTAACAATTACAGATGTCTTCTGTCCATTACAAAGTTACTGATGACTGTAATTCATTTTGAGCTTTTATTAAAAAAGCTAAAATCTATAAATTGAGGAGGAAAATTGAAACAAAAGGTTATATTAATTAAACTCCTTTTGAAGATAGTTAGCGGGAGGAAATAATCATTGATTTCCTGAGTCAGTCTTCACATGCATTATTTATGGTTTCCTTTATGCTACTCTTTCCTGGACCTGATGCCTAGGAACACAAGAACTCTGCCTGAAGCTACTGGCCTCGGAAGCAGGGCTTGCTCATGCTGTAGGTGTCACCCTTCCCCCAAACAGAGTGACAATAAAGTGCAGCTGCCAAAGAATTAATCACTGCAGGGCGTGAGGGAAAAAGTGGAGACTTCATACACAAATCCAGCTATTCAAGTCTTTCTGGGGCTGGACACATAGCTTAGTCATACAGCACTTGCCTAGCACGTGGCAAGCCCTAGGTTCAACCCCAGCACTGTAAACAAAACAAATAAAGGGCAAAGCAAACAAAACCAAAAACCAGGCAGGGGATGTAGCTCAGTGGCACTGAGTCTGCCTGGCAAGTGCAAGGTCCTGAGTTCAATCCCTGGCACCAGGAAACAAAACAAAACAAAACAAAACCATCACTAGAACATGTAGCATAAACATGCTCGAAAGAACCTAAAATACACAAGCTCCTCTACTATTCTTCCTTAACCCTTATTTCATTCTCTGAGCAGCAAGCCCAGTCCAGGCCTGTGATACAACGACCTACTTGTCTGGCTTAGGAAGCATAAACACGGGGATCCTGACCAGGTTCTGGAACACACTGAAGTCCCCCTGAAGCCATCCTAGGTGTTCTAACATGCTGCGTTCCTCATAGGTAGGGAACATGGGCTGAGCCAAGATTTAGTAAATCTACTGCAAGAGTTGTGCAAAAAGTATTGGAAGAATCAAGAATAAAACACTGGGGGGCTGGGGATTTAGCTCAGTGGTTCCAGCGCCTGCCTCGCAAGCGCAAGGATTGCAGTTCAATCCCTGGTACCAAAAAAAAAGAAAGAAAAGAATAAACACTGTGGAGGGAGAAATGAGCTCTCAGGGAATGATAAACTCTGAAGTACAGTTCCCAGGGTGGAATTCGGCTCTGACAAGCACATAACCCATCTACCCCAGCTGATTCAGAATTCTCAGAGAAGGAGCCTAGAAGTTTTTAACAAGCGCTGCCGGGAATGAAACGTATCACAAGATGGAAAGGCTCAGATGCATCTGAGGAGTCAGTACTGCCCTAATGGGTTGCGATCTCACAAGGGTAGTTCTTGCTTTTGAAGATGGGAAATCCAGGGGACTGACTGATGGGGGACAGCTTTACCCAGAGAGAGACACAGATACTTCGGGAGGAACACACACATTTGCGCTCAGATATTAAGCGGGCTTGGGAATGACCTCCCACAAACAGAAGGTCCATGCCGAGGAGCAGGGCACTGCAGCGAAAGGGCTGTCATCACCCCTGCCTACTTTTTTCCTGAGACAGGGTCTCGCTATGTAGCCCATGCTGCCTGCACTTGTGGCGAACCTCCTGCCTCAGCCTCTTGAGTGCTGGAATGACAGGTGTGCATCAGTCCTGTCATCACCTTCAAGAATTCTGGATCTCAGCTGCGTGGGGTGGTGCAGACCTACAATCCGAGTTATTCAAAAGGCTGAGGCAGGCAGATCAAGACTCTGTAGTGCCAGCCTGGGCAATTCAGCAAGGGCTGGACTGTCACCCTGTGGTAGAGCCCTTGCCTAGCCTGTGCCAGGCCGGGGTTCCATCCCTCACTGTGTGTGTGTGGGACATTCCCAGGACTGAGAAAGCACACTCATATCAAGGAGGAAAGGCTCAAAACTTGAGTTGGAATTAAGTCAGTACTCAAAATATTTTAGAAATAAGGCCACAAAGAAACATTGTAAGATGAGACAGCAGATTACACAGATGTTCACAGCCACCCAGTGACAGCTCATACCTTGTGCTTTAGAATCCAAGCCCCCAGAGAACAGAACTGCACTGGGGATGGGACTTGGGCTTCCTATCTGGGGATGAACTAAATGAAGGTGCCATTACAAAGAGAGCATTCAAGAAGATAATCTTGACGTCTTGCCACAGCAGCGGGGCTCCCCATTTCTCCTGTGTGCGCTACTGCTTCTTCCTGATATGGGAATTATGCAAGGCCGACTCGGGCCTAGGCCACTGTGCGAGATACGAACAGACTGGCTCCTGCGAGGCCAGCAACTGGAGCAGGGGCTTTAGCACTGGGCTAGCAAGGGCTCCGAGTCGGTTTTGCCGCCCTTGCCTGTCTCCTCCTTCCCTCCCTCAGCACTGGGGATTGAGCCCAGGCCTCTGCACTGAGCCGCACCCCCAGCCCTTTTGTTGCCTGGGCTGGGCTCAAATTTGTCATCCTCCTGGCTCAGCCCCCAAGAGTGCTGGCATGTGTCACCACACAGTTAGCCTCTCTTTTATATCCCTGCACACTGGCCCCTATCTATCTATCTATCTATCTATCTATCTATCTATACTGGGAATCGAACTCAGGGCCTTGCCCTTGCCAGGCAGGTGCAGTGCTGCTGAGCTACATCCCTGGCCCAGCCCCTATTTATTTCCTAATTTTTAAAATTTTTTCTCAGACAGGGCCTTGCCAGACTGGCCTCAAACATGTGATGATCCTCCTGCCTCAGCCTTCCCAGGGCCGGGACTATAGGTATCTGCCACCATGCTCAGTGTTTGCCCCTTTTAAAAACTTCCCTAATGTTCTGTCTCTCCATTTAAAAACTCAAAAGTTCAGTCCCTGAAGTAGAGTTGATTTCTCTCTAAAGATGAGAAAGCACATTACACTGATCTGAGAAAAGCACTGTGAGGAGTCTGTCAAAGGTTTTTTCCTTCTACAGCTTTCTGGACTGATGAGGTCTGCACTTGCCGGTGCCCCATTATACCCAGCTTCTTGGGGCAAGACCTGCATCTCTGGCTCGGGGGCTCCCCACGCTTACCTCCACTCGCTTGGGCAGACAGCAGCACTGATGGCTGCTGCTGAGGGCACCTGGGCTGTGAGCAGGGGTTAGAACCTCGGGGACCCAGTTCACAGGTGCTGAATGGAGACCAGAAGATGCTGGAATGAGGCAGTCGTGCTCAGAGGCGGAGAGGGAAGGGCTTTGCCCAGGGTCCTGGTGTGTGGCCCACACACGACAAACCTTTTCCTGGTATGTATCGTCCCAGGGTCGCCAGGTCCTCGGCTGGACAGGAGTCGGGGACGATGGAGGTGGAGCTGTTGGAGCACTGGCTCCCATGCCGCTCCAGCACAGCTTCCAGCTGGGCCATTTCCTGCTGCAGCCTGAGCAAGTTGTCCTGTATGGTGTCCTTCTGCTGCAAAACGAGAGTCACACTGTGACAAGCCTGGCCGGAGGGAAACACGCCACAACAGTTAATGCTGGCATTGGAGTAGACATCACCACGTACAGAACTGTGAGTTCTGGCTGACCACCCTTCAATCCAACCCTACTCACACAAATCACCACACTGAAATTCTTTCCAAATGATGTTTGAGGGAGGAAAATTCCTCCAATTCTCCCACACAGACTTGCTTTATTGTGCTGCCCTTTTCTAGTTGGTTATTTTCTTTCAAAGTTAGGAATGGGGGCTGGAGGTGCAGCTCAGTGGTACAGCACCTGCCTAGCACATGTGAGGCCTGGATTCTGTCCCCAGGGAGGGGAACAAAGGTGAAAACAAATAAAACGCACAGAAACAGTTAGGGTGTGAAAAAATAAGGTACTTAAACATTACTGGCATTTCAAATCAGCATGAGTCTGTTAACATTTTACTTTCAAATACTTGGCACTGCGAGATTCACAAGCCATTTAGGTCACTCCATGTAAAATTATGTGATTTGTTAGTAGCCAAGTGTTGCGGCACACCTATAACCCCTCAGGAGGCTGAGGCAGGAAGATCACAAGTTTGAATCCAGTCTGGGCAACAAAGAGAGGCCCTGGCTCAAAATAAAAAGAGCTAAGGTGTAGCTCGGTGGCAGAGTGCTTGCCCAGCATGAACAAGGCCCTAGCATTCAATCTCCAGCACTGTAAAACAACAAAAAGAACTTTTAAACTGGTAAATTCCTTAATTTTCTCTGGCATTTTAGGAAAGCACTCTCAGTAATCTTGCCTGGATGGGCGACCCTGCTTGAGCCAGAAAAAACGAAGGGTGAATCTGGCTGTCCCTCAGTGCATCCAACAACTCTTTACTGTGCCAGGCTCTGTGCTGGCGCTGGGCACACAGCCCTTGTGGTGCCATTCAAGAAGGGACAGGACATGAGCGCTTATCTGAGAAAGAGTGGCTGGAGAGCAATCTCCTGTAGGGCCCTGGAAAGCCTGAAGGACAGGCACTGTGTTCAGTTCAAGGTCATATGTCTTCTTGCTTCTGGGACTCCTGTTGCTTATTATTCCATCTCAGGAAGCCTTTATCTAAAGAAGTGGAGGGGCCAGGGATTTAGCTCAGTGGTTCTGCTGCCTGCCTCGAAAGCGCAAGGTCCCGAGTGCTATCCCTGGTACCAAAAACCAAAATCTTCTAAAGAAGTGCTGTGGGCCTGGTGGTGCCCACCTATAATCCCAGCGCTCAGGAGGCTGAGGCAGGAGGATTGCTGCTTCAAGGCCAGCCTGGACTATATAGCGACACCCTGTCTCAAAAAACAAAATAAAATAGTGGTAAAGAAGTGCTACATCTAATGTAGTTGATAAAGAATTTAGGCAATCAGGAGTTTTCTGAGATACGCTCTTCATCCCTGGAAACCTGGCAGTTGACAGCAAGCTGGGAGGGGAAGTGTAAACACAAACTGCTTCACCCTGTTTCTTCTTCTGCTGATCCATGAGAGCGATTTTGCCCTCTACTGAAAACGAGCTACCTGCTCTCTCCACCTGAAATGAGTTCATAGTTTTCAGGCGGCTTTGAATATCAGAAAATGTCCTTCCGGTCCCACAAAGGTTTGCCTGGCTGCCCTGAGCTGCTTTGCTGCCCACACCTGCGGCAACACCATTGCCACCACGTGGCACTCGAGAGCAGACAGCCAGGCCTGAATTGCCGGCCGGTCAGTTCACACAGCAGGAAACCAAACAAACAGCAGTGAAGGAATCACTTTAAAACTCAGTCTCCTATAGGCAACAAATGGGCCTAATGCACGAGGGAGGGCAAAACCACACAGGTCACTGAGTCTTCCCGCTTCCAACCCTGGAGTCACGGCCTCCGAATGAGTGCTGCCCTTCCATCTGCCTGGACAACGCTACTCTCCACACGGCTGCATGACTGCCCGGCTCCCTCTCCCTAGGGCCACTCAGAGGAGCTAATGGCTTGACTCCTCAGCAGAGGATCCAAAGGCGCTCGCACCCTCGGCGTGGCTCCTTCCTGCCCCGAAGTCCCCTTTCCGGCGGCACCGGCACCGGCACTGGGACAGGGCAGCTTGGTGCCCTTTGTGCTCTCGGTGCCTTCTCCTTTTCCCCAGGGGAAAGTTCTCACCCTTCAGGGCCCAGCTCCAATGTCTCCTCTGGAAGTCCCCGCCAGGAACAGGGGACCCCTTGTTTTGTGGGTCACACTGCTAGGGGGTTAATTTGCCCAGGTGGAACACAGGGTCCCTCAATGGGAAGAATCGTCCCTTGATGGTGTGTCTCCCCAGTTCACACAGAATCGTGTGAGTGAAGGGATGTACTCAGCCGGACCACAGCATGAATCAGGTACCCTTCACCTCCCATGTCCTCCGCGGTCCCTACTAACTCAGGGTAAGACTCGCTCCATCACGTCATGTCTGGTACTTCAGATTCCAGATAGCCCCAGATCTGACGTGAGCGCTGTTTTGAACAGATGCTTGATGAAAACACCTTGCAAAACACATCTTGAACAAACAGGCAAAACTCAGGGTCACAAAAACAGTGAGCAGTTTACTGAATGTCACATAGAATACAGTATGGCTAAGGCAGACGGAAAAAAAACTGGAAGCAAAACCGTTCAAACTTAAGGGACAAAATGAGGTGACAGGCACATTGCCCCAGCCCAAGTGTACACCAGGAAGGATGGGAAGAACTGCAAGAGAAAAGCCCCCATCAGCTGAGTGGCCATGGTGATGGGTGCTCAGTGATGGAGGGCGGGACCAGGAGAAGCCACACTCCCTTCATCTGCAGGCCTTGTGGCAGGGCCAAGACCTGGGAGATTTTAAAAGTGAACACTACCCGGAGCTGGCAAAGGCACAGGAAATGGGAGCCATCACACACTGTGGGGGCTGGAGGAGCAGAGTCAGGCTGAGGGTTTCTAAATAGTCAGTCTGATGATTGTACCCAAGACAACAAATCCAGGGCTGGGAATTTACACTAAGGAAATCATTAGGGATCAGGGAAATGCTTTGCTACCAGGTAGCCACTACAGTGTAGCACACCATGCACACTGTGACTCTTACCCTGAAAGCCTCAACATTCAGCACTAGGTGGACTAAGCCATGGTCTACCCAGGGGACAGAGTGCTACATGGATCAAAGTCACTGTAAAACTATAATGGCACACTAAAAGCTAGACTACAATGGAAGCATCGAGAAAACTGCAGTATCCAATGTTTTCTGAAGACAAGGTGTAGGTGCTGAGTTATAGCTCAGGGTTAGAGCAAAAGGGCCTAGATTCGAACTAATTACTAGTATGAGGCCCTAGATTCAGTCTCTAGTACATGGAAGGAAGGAAGGAAGGAAGGAGAAAGGAGAAATGAAAGACAGAAATAGGTACAGTATGCACAGATACCCATGTATATGCACAAAAAGGAGACTGGAAGAATGTATCAATAAGTTAATATAAGCATTTCTGGGTATTTTGTAGAATTTAACTAATTTATCACCTTAACCCTTTTTAAGCATACAGTTCAGTGATACTAAGTACTTCTACTTTGTGGCATAACTGACCATTTCCAAAACTCTCTCTCACTGGGGATGGAACCCAGGGCCTCACATGTGGTAGGCGCGTGCTCCTCCAGTTACACCCTAGCCCTTACTCTTACATTACTTTGATAAGGGCTCAGTCAGTCGCCCAGGTAGGCCCCAAACTTGTAATCCTCCCACCTCAGCCTCCTGAGTAGCTGGGATTGCGGGTGGCCATGCCCAGCCCTCTCCAGAACTCTCACCCTCCCATCCATCAAGCAGTAGCTCTCCATTGTCCTCTTGCAGCCTGGGTAGCCACTGTTCCACTGTTTCCCTGAATTTGACTATTTTAGATACCTCATGGAAGTGAAATCAAAACACATCTGTCCTTTGGTGTACAGCTTGTTTTCGTTATCGTGTTCCCAAGGTTCTGCCATGGATGATTCCTGTTTACCCACGCTTTCTAGATTTGCATGCTGCACGTGACTTTAGAAGAGCATTAGGCTCTTCACAGTTCATGATCACCCAGCACTTCAGGAAGTTCAGAAGACAGGCACTTGTTTGTCCTCACAAGGTGAGAAGAGCCACAGTGCATGACCCACAGGGGCCCAGACAGCCCCATTCTCCGAATGTGCCTGCTGTAATGGGCAAGTCACCCAAAGCCACACAGCTAGGTACAGAACTCTGAGCACGCTATGTACCGCAAGTGCTACAGGGCCTCGTGCCAGGAATAGAAAGAGGTAACTGAGGAGCTGTCAACTCAGCAAGGGAAAACATATACAAACATAAGCCAACAGCAGGTGTGGTGACGCACGTCGGTCATCCCAGCACTCAGGAGGCAGAGGCAGGAGGATCGCCAGGAGTTCCAGGCCAGCCTGGGCTACATACCAAGACCCTGTCTCAAAACTACAACAAGCACATAAGCTGAGATGAGCCTGAATTTCTGAATACAAGAACTTGGAAAATTTATTTTACAAAGTGAAAATCAGGAGACAGAGACAGGTTCTATGAGGAAGATTAAGGCACTCTTTTTAAGTGCTGGGGATTAAACCCAGGACCTCACCATACTAAGCAAAGGCTCTGCCACTGACCTACATCACCGCCCTACAATTTTTATTTTTTATTTTTATTTTTATTTATTTTTTGGTACCTGGGATCGAACTTGGGTCCTTGAGCTTGCGCAGCAGGCAGCAAAACCACTGAGCTAAATCCTTGGCCCCAAGATGTTCTTTTTTTTTTTTTTTGTACCAGGGATCGAACTTGGGACCTTGCGCTTACGAGGCAGGCGCAGGAACCACTAAGCTAAATCCCCGGCGCCCTACAATTTTTAAATGCTACAGGCTGGGGGCAAACAGCTCTGTGCTGCAGTGCGAGGCTAGCACACCGAGGCCTTCGGTTCACCCCCACCCGCACCCCAGAAAGCTGTGACAGTGAGAGCTAGTCTTGTCTGGACTACAGAAATGTTCGTGGTGTCTAACACTGTACGTAGAATAAAGCTGCTATTCCCTTCAAAAGTAACCAAGTTATTGCCCTTTACTAAGTTCAGAAAGTCAAATTACATACTTTCTTCTTTTTAAGATGACATTTGGGCATTAAAGAAGCCACCAGTAGATCATAAAAGACAAAAACAAAGAAAACATCCACAAAACAATGGAAGGCTAGTCTCTAACAGAAAGAAAACCCTGTGGAAGCTCTGGTTTGGCACCAAAAATAATTATCTGTCATTTTTTTTCTTTTTTCAGGGCTGGGGATTGAATTCAGGGCCTAACAAATGTGAGGCAAGCACTTTACCGCTGAACTACAGCCCCACTCCTTCTATTCTACTCTTATTTGATTCTGAGACAGGGTCTTGCTGATTTGGCCAGGCTGGCCTCAGGTCTGTGATCCTCCTGCCTCAGCCTCCTCAGTCCCTGGGATTACAGGCGTGGACCTCTGCACCCAGCCCACATCCCTGCTTGACACAATAATGCTTTCATTTGCTTTTGCTCCGGGGCAAGTGGATGATACAAAGGGCAGTGTGAGGTGTTCACAGCAGCACATCCAAGTGTTATATCTCCAACTCGAAGGAAGACATTCAGCAGACATTACGAATGCTGCACACACGCCTCACACACAGACACACTCACGTGTACCTGGGTGGTTAGGATGCTACTCTGCGAGGAAAGCCCCGAGAAACCACCAGAGGGGTTTGTTTCGCTCTCATACCCAGATGCTGCTTCACCTGAAAAGGCAACAAAAACAGGTTCCGCTGTAGACAGGCGGTGAACACTGCAACTTGGCAATACTGGTTTTGTGATCACGGTATCTCCCCTGCCAGGTAAGTTTTGGCAGTATTGGTTTCATTTCACAAAATCACCCAACTTCTTGCTTTGCGACACTGGGATTTTCCCTCAGAAACTCCGACACTAAAACCAGAGAGGCAACCCTACGAAGAGTAGGACACTAAAGCTCATGCAATCAGAGATGGGGCTTGAGCTGGCAGATGGGCTGCTGACTTGTAAGGAAAAGAACCGCATGAGGAAGCTGAAGAAGCAGTGGAAACATACCATGTGTTCCCATTGGGCATAACCAATCAGCTCATTTCTATGAAACAGACCGGGGCAAGGGCTGGGGATTTAGCTCAGTGGTTTCGCCACCTGCTGCACAGGTGGCGCAAGGACCCGAGTTCAATCCCCGGTACCAAAAAAAAAAAAACCAGACTGGGGCAAACACACAAGCCTGGCTCCAGTACCTAAGGGTGAGTCCACGCTCTGCCCTCCGTGATGGCTGCCTTCTTCCAGGCTAGGTTCCCTATCTTCATCATCTGAAACCACTTCCTTGTCGCTCAGAGAGGCACCCTGGATTCCAGAGGGATGCCCGTTCTGTTCAGCAGGAGGGTGCAACATCAGCAAGGGATCCTGGGAGATTGTGTTTGCAGCAGACTCTTCTGAGATGCTGCACTGGGAAGAAAACAAGCTGCCGGAACATCTGATGTCTTCGCCCAGCCGAGGTTCCGGGGACACCGGCTCGCTGGTGCAGCCTCGTAAGTTGTCTTTCAATGATACCACGTTCTCCTCTGTTCCCTTAGACACACGCTCTGTCGCACCAGTGCTGGGCCTGGTAGACTGAGGAGTAGTGCATCCTTTACCAAATATTAAGTGTTGGAAGCAGGGAAGTTCTTCGTCCTCACTTGACATGTTCTCTTCGGAAGACTCTAATTTCCTCACCCTTCTTTGGTGACCCCGAGCCAGAGCTGTATGGGTGAAGGGGCTGGGGCTCCTGCTGAATTGTCTTCTCTGGACACTTTTGCTAAACACAGCAGAAGTCTCCTTAATGTCATCTTCAGCAAAGCTGGCATCTTCCTTTCTGTCCTCTTCGTCTAACAGGTCATCGGGTGTCTCAGAACAAATCTGAGAAGCAGGATTACTTCCCATAGGCTGTTCCACGCTATCAAAAATTAGACAGGGAGAGAAATCTGCATGGACAGCCTGAGCTACGACTCCACTCGCTCCTCGCTGTGGTATTTTAGGACATTTGTAGTCACCCACAGGAAGACTTTGCTCCTGGACTTTAGGTTGCATCAGACCTGATCTAAGCACAGCATTTAGTGTCGGCCCTCGGCTTCTCCCCCATTCTGCCTGCATGTGCTCATTGCTGGAGGCTACCTCATTAGTGCCAGAGCCCACTCCACTCCCGCTGCCTGAGCTGGCCTCTTTAGGAGCAAGATCTCTGCTGTTCTTACAGCAACCTGTGCTCACCATGCTTTGAAGGACTCTCTCACTCTCTACTGCTTCTTTTGGTGACATGGAAAGGCTTTTCTTACATGCAGTTTTAACAGATGTCCCAATGCGAGAAACTGATGCCACATGGCACGGGTTTCGTGAAATTCCATGTTTGTCAGCAGCGACGAGTTCAGTTTTGTAGCCTCTGACCTGAGATGATGGACGGAGCTTCGAGACTCCTGTGACACCACACTGGACACCAACACCTAGCTGGTCATTCTGAGAAATCACAGGGACACTTGCAGTGGCATTAACTACCTGCACATGCCTGATCTTAGACGCTTTCTTTCCCTTACTGTTTTCTCTTTGTTCACATTCAGGAGTGACTTCTGGATTTCGTTTCTGAAAGAACTCGGAGTGGGCACAGACCCCTGTAGATTTCTTTTCTGGGTTTCCTGGATTGGAAAACAAGGCAAATGACTGACGCTTTGATGCCTGGAATGTATTTTGTAAATATTGAGTATCGAGTTCACTATCTTCCATTTCTACATTTGCCTCCTGAACGTGGCTCACTTTACGTCTCAATGGATCATTAAAACCCTCAGTGTCATTTCCAGTATCTTCAGAATGAGCAGGCAGTTCCTTGGGCTTTGCGACCGCTACATACTGAGTCACACACTGATGCGACGCTCTCTGTGCCTTCCTGAGGCTGTTGGCTTCCAGTAAGGAGAAACTGTCCTGAGTGCTATAATCAGTGTCTGGGACCAGTGAGATACTGGTGCTCTCTGCAGATCTCTCGGTTTGCAAACCCCTTTCTCCACTTAGCACTGGACCTTTGGGATCTCTGGTATTATCCGACACTTGAACTGTTTCTGGGTTCTCTTCTGTCTTGTCTCTCTGTGGACTAGGGTTGACAAGTTCTTTATCAGGGCCTGAACTGTTAGCAGAAGAACCAGGTGTGTTTGCTAACGCTGGTTCTGGGACAGCCTCCTCAGCAGGTCTGTTCCTTACTTGTTCAGCGGGCTTCTTACTCTCCGGGATTCCAATGGAAGCTTCTCCCTCCCCCGCAAGGTATAGATTCTGGCTGTACCCGATCAGCACTTGGTGGGAGCTTTTTTCCTTCACTTCTTCAGTGCTGGTAGAATTGTCAATTTGCAGTTCGGTGTGGTCCAGTGGGCTGGGGTGAGGCACATGCCTGGTTGAGGACCTCCTCCTCAGCCTGCTTTTCTTAGGTGGCTCTGAATGACGGGCATGTGATTCTAGTCCCATGTTGCTTATGCTGCAGCTCTGGGGCTCTGCTCTGGCGGCAGACTCTTTTTCCAGTGATTGTGCTGGGCTGGGCTTCCTCTGTCTCTGAACACCAGCCCCTTCTGCATCACCCTTGTGGCTTTTCCTAGGAGTACCTGTCACCTGCCCACTCTCCTCCATTTGCTCCGTTCCCTGATTTATCTTTTCAGGAGTCTTTGGAGCAACTGGCAAATCTGCTCTCTTGATAAAATCCTCAGGATGAAGACATGACATGCTTCTCCTCTTGCGCTTTAATTTATTTGTGGGGGGAAACTCTTGTGTCACCTGCGGTTTGACAACCAATGCTCCTACAGTTAGATTTTCAGCCACATAGGTGAAGCTGGGGAGGCTCGGCTTCCTCCGGTAGGTTTTCCCGAATACTTTATCTTTCATGTCATTCCTCCCTGCTTTGGGGCAGACTCGCTTGTTGGCACAGAACAAAGCACTCTGAGGACTATTGGTCAGCATGGCTATTTTCTCCAGAGAGCCAGAAAAGCCACCTTGGCCTTTTGGATCTTCTAAGGCACTGGCTTCTTCAGCATCTGCTTCCAACTCCCGGTCACAGGCATCATCAGAAGCCACCACTTTGTCACTTCTGGAAAACCACTCATTAACTTTCTGAATCCTGCTGTTCAGTGTGACCCAGTAGACATCCTGGGCCTCCCCGAGCGTCTCCGAGCATGGGGGTTTCTGCTCCTTCCCTCTTCTCTCACAGAGGGCCGCAGCGGTCGGCTCTGCCTTCTGCTCTGTGCTGGGCGTCTGCCCATCATCGGAGCTCTCCTCGCTCCCAGCCCATCTGCTCTGTTGGCTCCTTGCAAACCCGGGCTGTTTGCTTTTATTACAGAATTCAGCCTTTTCTACATCCATTCTGTCTTCAGTGAGTAATAAACGGCTGTTCCTGCACTGTAATGAGCTGGCGCGAGTGTCGGTGCCACATGGCTCCACACGCAAGTCGGGAGCAGGGCCGACCTGCTGCTTGCCTGGACGCCTCTTGGCAGCACGCTTCTCCACAGGCTTTTCGTCTTCACCGCTGAGGTGTGGACGGTCAGAGTCTACGGTGCCCTTCTCAGAAGCCTCACAAGGAGCTGAAAACACACAAAAATAATGAGGTGCTAAACGCTGACCTACGGAAAAAACACAACTGGGGAGTGGAAATAAAGCAACTAGCTTTTTAAGAGAAAGCACCAACTCCATTTTTAAGATGTAGTTCACATTCTTTCTGTAATTCCTACTCACACAGATTCTCATTATTTCCAATCAAGATAATGAGAAATCTAAGTTCAGAGTTTTCCCTATGCACAACCCCTACCGCTCACTCCTCCAGCCTCTGAGAGTGAATCAAGGCAGTGTTTGGTTGACACAGTACCATGATCTGTCTACACACTCACACTCCCTGTATTCAAAAACCAGTTGGCAAAAGATGAAATACAAATACATCAGTTAAAAATGAAGGGCGCCGGGTGTGGTGGCGCACACCTGTAACCCTAGCACTCAGGAGGCTGAGGCAGGAGGATTGCCTTAAGTTTGAGGCCAACCTGGGCTACATAAGACCCTGTCTCAAAAAACCAAAACAAAGAAAAATGAAGGGCAGCAACCAGTTGCATGGGGTATTTTTATATCCACACCCAACATCCCATGGGAAGATGAGGCTCTCCATGATACCCTGAGAAAGAACAACATTCTAACTGCCAAGAGGCCTGATCCCAGCACGGCACCCACCCACCCTCTCCTCAGGACCCTTAACCTTGGGAAGACTCACTGTTACCCTGTTTTGCAGGATGTGAACTAGCTTTGGCCCTGGTTCCTTGCAGGCTGAAGAGCAAGTCTTGGTCTCTCACACTGTGGGGAAAGGAAAGAGACGAGTGGGCCCCAAGTTACAGCTCACAGAGGGAGAGGGCAGTGATCAAGCGTGAGCCCCTCTAGGTGGGCTGTATGAGCCAACCACGGATGATCCCCCACTCCACCTGCTCACTCCTCTAAGTGACTCCTAGTCTCAAGGAGCATTTTATGACTAGGGAAAAGTCATTTGCAAACAAATCTGAGCGACTGCAATACTATCATAATTCAGATCAGTAATGACAGATCCCAGTCAGGGTCAAGCAGTAATTCCTAAGGAAAGAGACCAGACAGGTGACCCACCTGGAAACTGCTTACAGGCTACTCTAATTCATACAGACAATGTTTGAGAATTAATGTAGAACCAAGGGACAGAGGAAAGAAAGAGCTGAAAGTTGACTGAAAGTGGAGTCCGCTAGTATTTTCATCAGCCACAATTCCCACGGTATCAACACTACTGCCTGAGGAATTTAGCTGGAGAAAACGCCTGCCAGAAGCAAGTGTGGACAGAACCCCACCACTACCTCACACTCCTCTAAACACTGCTAATAAAACAAGCAAGAAGGCTTTTTTTTTTTTGGTACCAGGAATCAAACTTGGGTCCTTGTACTTGTGGGGCAGGCGGTGGAACCACTGAGCTAAATCCCCAGCCCTGCAAAAAGGCTTTTGCTCAGCTACTGAACGAGGAGAGGAAAGCACACAATCTCTACAGGTTCTTCTAATACCATGATTCAAATCTAGGGAAAAGCTAATCTTTAATATTGACAAAGTACGAAGATACCAGCCTGTGGGCCAAGGGCCCTTGCCCTCACCTGTGGTCATCCGCCCTGTTAGCCACGTCTTCAGAGGCGTCTTCAGAGGAGTCCGACCCTGAAAGAAGTGTCCCAGCCCCAGGCAGATCAGTAAAGACTGTCTTTGAGAGGGTTAGACTGAAACAAAAGATATCCATTTATCTACAAGTGTTCACTGAGGACTCGCGATGTGTGAAGCGACTCAGGAGCAGGCAAGGAAGCTGGTTACTACTGGGTGTGAGCCCATGGCCCCCCAACCTCGGGCAAAGGCCTGCACCCCTCTGAATTTCAGTGCAATCTGTGAGATGCTATGGTGGCCCATGGGAGCTCAGAGTCACCCTGCCCAATGGAAAGAGACAAGGCTCTCAGCGAGGCGGGTTGGAACTCTGCACTCATCTTACAAGCCCAGCTCTTGGGCTGGGGATGCAGCTCAGCAGCGGTGTCCCTGCCTGGCAAGCACAAGGTCCTGAGTTTGATTCTCACTATCGAAGAAAAAAAAGAAGCCCAGCTCTCACCAAGAGTGCAGCTTATCTTGACTCCCTCTAAATGGGACTTTATTGTTACTTTCCATTTTTCCAAAATTCATTTCTCCATACTTATAACCAGATATCCTTCCTTTTGCTCCTTTTATAAAGTAAGATTCTCCAAGGCCGAAACTGCATCTTTTACATTATTTATAACTCACCACAGAGCCCATAAAATTGTTATTATTATTTTTTTGTACTGGGGATCGAACTTGTGACCTTGCACTTGCCAGGCAGGCACTGGAACAACTGAGCTAAATCCCCAGCCCCAAAATTATTTTGTTTTTATTTCCCAAAACTCCCTGCCAAATGTATAAGGACAACCAAGGTTTTCAGCAAAGCTGTGAGACAGCAACCCAGCAACCATCAGTGTGGACTTCTGGAACCCATGGCCCTTACCCAGTTCAATGTAGACAGATTTATTTTGAGGCTGTGCCTGCTTCTTGGTCCTCAGAGACCTCACGATTCCAAGGTCAGACAGCTGGACCCCGAGACTGGTTTCCTGCTAAGCGATAAAGAATGGTCACCCACTGGTGGCTAGCTCTGTGCTTCGTTCCTAAAGAGAAACCCCAGGCCATGGACAAAACTATCAGTCAGCTACGATTCAGGACCACTGGGAAAACACCTGGCAAAACATACCCTAAAACGTCTAGGTTACACATGGGTTCAGTATTTTTTTTCCCCTTTCTTACTTTAAAAATTTTCAAATTGTGTATTATGTATAATTTTTGGAAGTATTAAAATACAATATTTTAAAGCTAATACTTGAATATAATTCTAATCACATCCAGTAAAAGGATTGGCAGCTAAGATAAAATAAATGCCAAAGAAGGATAAATGAACTGAGTGTGTTGTTACACAACTGTAATACCAGCAACCTGGAGGCTGAGGCAGGTGCAGCACCACTGAGCTAAATCCCTGGCCCTAGGATTTCAAGTGGGAGGCCAGCTTGGACAACACAGTTAGACTGTCTCAAAAAATAAAGCAAAAGGAGCTTTGCGCAGTGGCAGTATCACAGCAATGGGGTTTATCTGAGGTGCGACTATTGCTAACTGAAAAAATAAAGCAAAAGGGCCAGGGATTTACCTCAGCACCTGCCTTGCAAGCACAAGGTCCCGAGTTCAATCCCGGTACCGGGAACAACAACAAAAAAAGCAGAGTAAGGTAGTGCATGCTTTAGCCCCAGCACTGAAGAGCACAGGCAGAAGGCTGCTGAGTTTGAGGTCAGCCTGGGCTACAGAGTGAGTTCAAGGCGAGCGTGATCTACATAGTGACACCCTGTCTCAAAAGAAAAAGATACATGACGACAATTAACCCTTGTGTCCCTAAAATTAGTAAGAGAAAGGATATTTATGTTTGGGGCTTTGGTGGTACTGAGGACTGAACCTAGGGCTCACACACTAGGCAAGCCCTCCAACAAGGAGCTGCATCCTGAAGCTTTTCTTCTTCCTATTTTGCCCTTCTACATCTACTAAGAAATCAATGCCTAGTCTCAAGAACTATTACTTTTAAATCTCCATCATTCATTCACAGATGCGTGCCAGCACAGCGAATCACTGTCTCTTCCTGTGCAATCACACCTTTTAAGCTGAGGAGTTTAGATGCTTACTCGCCCGGTGACTCTGTGGCTCTCTGCACAGTGTCAGAGCTGACACCCTGGAGCAGGGCGGGGCCCAAATTGCCCTTCTGAACGCCTCAGCCTTTCACACGGCTTCTTTCGCACCTGACACACTCCCCAACTCACACTGCTCAACAAAGAGACAGCGTCAGAGAAATGCGGTGCCTTACCAGGGAGGGCTTCTCAGGCTCACCCTGTCGAAGTCCTCTGGCACGGTTCCGGTAGCCCATACTTTGGATGAGGGGAATCTCCTCCTGGCCGTGTTCAGGAGAATTAATTTCCTTTTTTGAAAAGTTGTAACTGTTTGCAACTGTGAATTACAAGGGAACACAATGTGTAGTTAGGAAAGCTGTACTCATTTTCATTAAAGAAACTAAGAGAAATTCTGCGTGTGCTTTTTTTTTTGGTACCAGGGCTCGAACTCGGGTCCTTGCGCTTGCGCAGCAGGCAGCGAAACCACTGAGCTAAATCTCCGGCCCTGCATGTGCTTTTTATTGTGTTAAGATGATTATTATGGGGCTGGGGATTTAGCTCAGTGGTTTCGCTGCCTGCTGCGCAAGCGCAAGGACCCGAGTTCGAGCCCTGGTACCGAAAAAACAAAACAAAAAAAGATGATTATTATGGACATTAAGGGTACCCACAAGTTTTTTCCTTTTTTTTTTTTTTTGGTATCGGGGATCAAACTCAGGACCTTGAGCTTGCAAGGGAGGTTCGGTGCCACTGAGCTAAATTGCTGGCCCAACGATAAGTTAAAAAACCCCCAAAAAACTTCACACATTCACAGATTGTCAAAGTTATTCTATTGCTTTTTTTCCACTTTAAAACTCACAAATTTGCCTATTAATACCATATTCCACTGAATCTAAGACACCAATAAATGTAAAAGCACACTACCATTTTCTGTACCATTAACGAAGAGCTAAATTAAACAATGACAGACGATTGATGGTAAAATGCTCTCAATCCCAGAGATGTGAAGATGCGCTTTTCCAGACTGATAAATAAGGTGTGAGGCAGCTGGGAAGGATTTAAAACAGACATCAGAAGCAGAGCTAGAATGAACCCAGACCAGCAGGTCTCCGTCCTCACCTGGCGACAACCACAAATGTGCTGGGTGTCAGCCGCGCTCAGGACACTCACCCTGCAAGCCGCTGTCCAACTCAAAAGCGCGAATGACTTTCAACAGCTCTTCAACCAGCTGACTGAACCTTGTGCTTTCCTGTAGGCTTCTGAAATTTGATCGAGAGCACACTTAGCAAGTGACTATCAACTGTTCAAGGACACTAAAATGGGGAAAGGCGTGCTGACAAACACAAGATTCGGTCCTCTCTGCAACCACCATGGAGAACATACTCAGAGGAACAGAACCGCCAGCTACCTCACACGATAACCGAGGCCCCACTGCTGCAGAATAAACTGTGGTGGGTTGGATCATCTCTGTAATTCTTTGCCTTCATGTAAGTCTACAAAAGTTTAATACTTCCTAATACAGTATCAAGCCAAGTCCACGGTAGATATTAATCTCTCACAGGTAGCTCCGCTACTCAAGGATTTCCACCAAATCAGAGAACAGACAGGTTAACAACATTCAGAGAGATCTAAGTTCAGGAAAGTGGACGGAAAATACAATCCACCCATTCCTTTAAGTAGCCGAGCACCTACTAAGGCCCAGGCATTGGAGAAACAGTACTGAGACCAAGTGGCTGCCTGCTGGAATCTCCCTGGGGCAGAAGAGACGCACTGTGGGAGCAAAGAGCTGGACAAAAATAATGCCACGAAGAAAAAGAAAGGCAGCTAGTGAGACAGGGTGATACAGCCTGCTTTCTACATGACCTCCAGCTCTGGTATTATTCAAGAGCATGAAGGCAGCTAGCTGTCTCCAGCCAAGCACCCCAAAGCCCCTGATGTCACCTGAGGACAACACCAGGTGGGATCAGGCCTGGGTGTGCATGGACAGGGGAAAAGGGCATAAAGTTGCTAACACCTACGTAGTGTGGATGTCACAGGAAACTTCCAGGCAAATAACTGTGGAAATACTTCACTGCCTGCTATGCACACTTGTGTACATTTTCCTATTGATGAATAGTTTAGGAAGAACACTAGCCATGTTAGTAAAGAATTTCTCCCTCTGCTGCCATGTTACTTCCAACTCCCCTCATTATGCAAATCACACACCTTTTGGTTATACTGTTCTTACACAAAGGACACTGCGAAGGCCCTTTCTTCTGGTCGAGAAGTTTCAGCATACAAAATCTAGAAATGATAAAGAAAGAACAATTCACTTTCTTTTATAGAGAGAATATTCAGAAGGCAAACAAGCCATGAAAAGATAATCTCACAACCTTCCCAAGGGTTGCTAAAAGGTAATGACAGGTGAATTAAAACCAATGGTTTTAACTGTTTTTATTTTTATTATTATTATTTTGGGGGGGGTACTGAGGATCAAACTCAGGACCTTATGTTTGCGAGCAGGCAGCAGAATCACTGAGCTAAATCTCCCGCCCCAGCATCAATATTCTTTAATCTTTTTTTTTTTTTTTGGTACCGGGGATCAAACCTAGGCCCTTGCGCTTGCACAGCAGGCGGCGAAACCACTGAGCTAAATACCCAACCCCCCAATTCTTTTTTTTGGTACTGGGGATCAAACTCATGACCTTGTGCTTTCGAGGCAAGCGCCGGAACCACTGAGCTAAATCCCTGGCCCCCAATATTCTTTAAAGACACAGGATGGAGGGCCAAGGATTTAGCTCAGTGGTCCCGCTGCCTGCCTTGCAGGCATAAGGACCCAAGTTCGATCCCCGGTACCCACCCCTCCCCCCAAAAGAGACACAGGATGGAGGCCACACCTTGACAGAAATACTAACATCCACTCTATTATAATGGGACAAAGAGGCATCTGTATGTATCCCTAACAAATGCTACAGCTGAACAATTTAGAGTGGTAACAGGAAGGGAATTCCCTGGTCAAATATATTTTGTTTTGTTTTGTTGGTACCGGGGATCAAACTCGGAACCTTACACTTGGGAGGCAGGCAGCAGAACCACTGAGCTAAATCCCCGGCCCAACACTACCAAATGTAGTAGAGGAACGAGCTAAGATATGTCACTTTTGCGGCCTATACAATAAATAATGAAGGAGACCTAGGTATGTAGAAAACCAGCCAAGAATAGGGACCATAACCTTTCTTCATGCTAGGAAAATAACACATGAAGAAACATAAAGGTTGTTAACTACACTCAAAAGAGAAAATGAAGTTGGGCACGGTTGCACATGCCTATGATCCCAGCACTCTGGGAGGCTGAGGCAGGATTGTAGCCCAGCCTAGGCAACTAAGCAAGAACCTATCTCAAAATATAAAAAGGGCCAAGGACATAGCTCAGCGTGAAGGTGCTGGGCTTAATCCCCAGTATCACAAAAAAGAGGGGCCGGGGGTTTAGCTCAGTGGTTCCGGCGCCTGCCTTGAATGCACAAGGTCCCATGTTCGATCCCCGGTACCAAAAAAACCCCCCAAAAAACCCCCAAACCAAAAAACCCAGTGCCACAAAAAGGAAAAAAAAGAAAAAAAGAAATGAATTTTTATGCAACTCTGAATGACTGAGCTAAGGGAATCTGGAAGGATCAACAGAGCATTGGCACAACACCAGGGCTCAGAGAAAGAATTCTGAGTTTTGTGTCCAGGGAGTCATCGTGGTACACCAACCAAAGGAAAACACATACGTAAGTTCTACACAAGGCGCTCAGTAAGATGTGAGGCAAGCTTTGACTTGGCACAGTGGTTCAAGCCTGCAATCCTAGCACTCTGGGAGGCTGAGGCAGGAGGATGGCAAGTTTGAGCCCAGCCTGGGCAACTTGGTGAGACTCAGTCTTAAAAAAAGAAAAAAAAAAGGACTAGGAATGTAACTTGATGTGAAGGTTCTGGGTTCAATTCCCTGTACACACACACACACACACACACACACACACACACACACACACACACACACACAGTAACCTTTTAAATACTGGGACTTTCTTTTCTCTATCCATCTTTGAAGAAAGTGGTTGGCAACATACTGCTCTAGAGCCCACAAAGCTATAAAGGTAAAAATTCTTAAAGCACAAAGAGAAAGCTGTGTTGCTCTGGCATGTGGCCGGGAGGAGCCCAAGGGTCCTATGAAGCTGCTGGGACTGGATCTAAGCCAGCAGAGCACCACGAGAAGGAGGCAAGAGGCACAGAAATGGGCTGTGGATTCTCCAGGGGGCAGAGGGAGGGAAGGAAAGAGGGAGCAGAGGGAGGGAGCAGAGGGAGGGAGGGACCCTCCAAAGGGAACAGGTTCCTGCAGCTTCAGCCAGAGCTCGTTATCCTTAGGCAGCAGCTGTCCCCTTGTCAGATCATGGAAACAGCCGAAAATGGATGAAAACTATGGACTACTCCCAGGAAAAGTACACACCATACTTTTTAACACAACTGAGTTTAAAACTGAATCTTAGGAAATTCATGAACATCATTCATGAACTCCAAGTTTAAAAATTCCTGAAAGGGGGCTGGAGATTTAGCTCGGTGGTTCCGCCGCTTGCCTGGCAAGTGCAAGGTCCTGAATTTGATCCCAGGCACCAAAAAAATAAATAAAATTCCTGAAAGGATACATACGAAGTTAATAATCATGGTTCTCTGGGAAAGGACGTAGGAGACAGGGGTTGAGGGAACAAGAAAATACACTGTATCACATACCATTCTGTTTTAATAAGCTCCTAGGTTCATGGCTTGCTTTTTCAATTGCTTCAATTTTTTTTTCTGGGATCAGGGATCAAACTTAGGACCTTGCCCTTGCTGGGCAGGCACAGTGCCACCGAGCTACATCCCTGGCCCTTCTCTTTTAATTGAAAAGTCAACGGGCCAGGGATGTAGTTCAGTGGTGCCGCACCTGCCTTGCAAGGGCAAGGTCCTGAGTTCAATCCCTGGTACCAAAAAACAAAAATCCATTAAAAGTGAAAAATTACTTAAAAACAAACTCATTGAAAGCTGGAGATGGTGCCACACAACTGTACAGCCAGCCCTCTGGGAGACTGGCTGGATCCAGATGCAGAACCCCAGACACGGAAGGGGATGGAGGGCGACCCCGGGACTGGGACCCCTGGTGTGAATTAATCTTGGCCTGCGCAGAAACTGCCCTCAGACCCCTCCTATCTTCACAAGGGTCGAAGAGCAGGGAACAGGGAACCTTCGAGGGGAAGGAGAGGACATTCAGAGATGAACAGAACGGAGCCTGGGAGATGGAAACACAATGTGCTTATTTCACAAATACTTGTGGCCTGCTTTCACCCTCGGACACAAAAACCAAACAGCTGTCCTAGGGGATCCCACATCGCCTTCTGCACACAGATAAGCCGGGTCAACACCCCACCAGGAGCAAGGCCTGTGACCGCCTACAGCAACTCTCTAAGTACTCTCCAAGGAAGGACAAACACAGTTGGAGTTTTTCCGCTGTCACTTAAGTGACCAAGCTAAAAAAGCCTCCATAAAGTCCAGTTTTCCCTGTATTATAAGAACAAGCACAAAGCTAATAAAGGAGTCACAAAAACCATTGAAACTTACTTGCAAAATATGTGGTCACATTTTGTGGAAACAGGTTCTCTGATCAATTCCAGACTAGAATGGTAGAGGAAAAACAGAAAATTATAAATTAGGCTCAATAATTTCTCTAAAAAATAAATATATTTTGAGTAAAGAAATTTATGGTAACTCAAGTTATGAGTTGGGGTTTTTATTTTTATATTTTTGATTTTTTGAGACAGGGTCTCATTATGTAGTTCAGGCTGGGCTTGAACTCACTATGCAGCCCAGGCTGCCCTCAAACTTGCAGTGATCCTCCTGCCTCAGCCTCCTGAGTACTAGGACTACAGATGTGCGCCACCATGCCCAATAGTATGGCTTTAAGTTTCTTCAATACTTATTAAATGTCTGTTAGGCTAAGAGCTAAGAAAATATGATGTGCCTTTCCTGAGCTTTCAGACATTAAAAGTTACAGGCTGGGCATGTGGCTCAGTGGTAGAGCGCCTGCCCCACATTCATGAGGCCCTAGGGTATATCCCCAGCATGAGGAAAACAAAACCAAACCAAACCAAGAAACAAATAGCCCTGTCCCAAAAAACAAACAAACACCTACAAGAATTAGATCTAGGCTGGGGATTTAGCTCAGTGGTTCTGCCGTCTGCCTGGCAAGCACAAGGACCTGAGTTCAATCTCCAGTACAAAAAAAAAAAAAAAAAATTAGATCTTTTCAGGGCTGGGGATTTAGCTCAAGGGTTCCAGCACCAGCCTCAAAAGTGCAAGGTCCCAAGGTCAATCCCCAGTACCAAAAAAAAAGAATTAGATCTTTTCAGTATTCGATTTTGTCATTAGCATTTTTTTTGTTTTGGTTTTTTTTTTCCACACAGGGTCTTGCTCTGTAGCCCAGGCTGGCCTCGAACTCACAGTGATCCTCCTGCCTCAGCCTCATGACTGCTGGGAACTACAGGTAGGCAGCTCCATGCCTGGCTTGTCATTAGCATTTAAAAGACTGATAATACTTTCTACTAATTAGTTTTCCCCGTAACACTTTTTTGAGCTATCATTTTTTTCTTGCTACCCGAGATTGAACTCGGGCATTGCACTTGCCAGGCAGGCACCGCAGGCACCAGAACCACCAGGCTAAATCCCCAGCCCTTGAGCTCTCATTTTCAACACAGCCCTTGCAACTTAAGTAAATGCAAAACTGTACAAAGAAAAACCTTTTGCTCACAGTAGTTTCCTCTTATCTGTATTTTCTCCTCTGCAGTTTCTCTTACTTGTAGTCAACAATGGTCCAAAAATTATTAAATGGGAAACTCCACAAAGAAGCCATTCTAATGTTTTAAATTGCATGTCCTTCTGAGCAACAGGGAGAAGTCTTGCACTGTCCCTCCAGGAACAGAAGTCACCCATCTGGGGGTGCAGACTACCCATGTTCCTGTCACCTGACGGAGGTCTTGGTTATCAAAATGTCAAGTGACAGGCACTGCTGTCTCCAAGTGACATTCAGTTCCTTTAATAAGGCCCCAGAGCACAGGGGCAGCCATGCTGGCAGTGGGATATGCCACTGCTAAGCCAGGAAGTGGAAAGTGCAAGCGTATGCTAGGTCTGTCTGTCTGCACAGGGAAACAGCCCACACAGGGTTCCAGCTGCACAGCTCCAGGCCCCCTGGGCTCCCGGAATGCTCCCCTCAAGGAGAGAGGAATGACTGTGTATTTCTTTTGGATTCCCTCACAGCAATTTTTGGGCATGTGATTGCCTTGTTAGTTAATGGGAAAATTTTTGAGCATTTACGTAAAATGGGCCAGGTGTGGTAGTGGACACCTGTAATCCCAGCACTCAGGAGGCTGAAGGAGGAGGAACTGAGTTCGAGGCCCAGCTGGGCTACTCAGTGAGACCACACCCCACCTCCCTAAATAAAATGAACTCTGTGTACCAACACCCAGTTTCAAGGACTCCTGTGGACAACTGGCCAGCCCTGTTCCACCCACACACACCCCTGCCACCGCCTCAGGTCGTTTGTAAAACAACCCCAGCCAACAGGTCATTTCATACTGGCAGCTCCAGAGACTGAACCCAGGGACAAGTCCTCTCCACCAAGCTGCATTCCCAGTCCTTGCTGTAAAATTTTGTTTTTGGACAGAATCTTGCTAATTTGCCTAGGCTGGCCTCAAACTTACGATTTCCCTTCCTTTAGAGAGTAGCTGGGGTTACAGGTGTCCACCACTGCAACAGGCTAGACTCTTTTTAGCCTAACCATAACACCATTATTACTCCTAAAAATAAATGATTGCGTTCAATTATCTAATAGACAATTGATGTTTTAACTTGCTACATACAATTTATTTTTAATAGTTGTCTATGTTTATATCAGTATCCAAGCTATCACATTGCATTTGGTTCATACAACTCAAGTCTTCTTTAATCTGCAGATTTTCTTTCCTGTTTTCCTTTCTCGCCACTCATTTAAGTGCAATGTTGGCACTCTGGGGATTCGTCTCTAGCTTCATTTCCAGTGAACAGCACCTACAGCAAGATCCAATTCAGGTTCGACTTTCGGGCAAGAACACTTTGCCAGTGTCGCTGTGTACTTCATTACGTCACTTCAGGAGGGTCATGTTTGGTTTCTGATTACTTTGTAAAAAACACTGTAATAGATACTCCCTAAAGGAAATTCCCTCCTTTATGTTTACAAAATCTCAACATCTTTCTGATAGTAATTCACTTAAAATACATACCATACACACACACACACACACACACACACACACACACACGTATGTGTATACATATGAGAGGAGATTGAATCCAGGACCTTCGTGCTGAGCTATATCCCCAACCCTTTCTCTAATTTTTATTTGGAGACCAGTTCTCACTAAATTGGCTATAGACTGCCTAGGGTGGGCTTGTGATCTTGCCATCTTGCCTCAGCCTCCCAGAGTGCTGAGGTTATGGGTGTGTGCTACTACACCCAGCCATATAACAAATGTTAAACATTTACTTCATGTGGGGACTGACTGGAATACAGCGGTGAGCATCCTAATGCCTGCCCTCATGGAGCTTACATTTTAGCTGTGGTGGAGAGATGAGAAGAGAAATAACTAAGAAAAGATGGGAATCGGTGTTGAAGAGAAAGACAGCAGAGTAAGGGCAACACAGAGTGCCATGTATGAGGGGGACCCAGGGTGGTCATCACAGTCCTTACTAACAAGGTGACACTGAAAGACAAGTGAACAGTGCGAGGAAACCAGCTGTGCAACACTCAGCAGAACGACCCGGCAGGGGCAGAGGACAGCCCACAGGCTTGGAGACATCGTGCAGGCAGATCCACCTCAGCAGCCGGGAACCTGGGGACCACCTGAAGGCTTCCGCCTTTGCTGAATGAGGGCTTTAGAAGGCAAATTTTCCTTGGCAAAGTCCAGCCAGGACATTAAAGATGTGACAGGGATGTGGTTCTTTTCACTGAACACTTAACTTTTAGAAAAGGGTCATGAGAAAGGCTGAGGGCAATAGGCCTACTGTACTAACAGGGCCACCTCCAGCTGAGACACCTAGGCGTCCTTTTGCCGCCACCACGCCGGTTCTCCAGGGCTGCTGTGAGGACAGCTAGATAACTGGGAAGAGGCTTCCCAGCGAGAGAGACTTACGCCAAGGTTAGTGCTAATACTGGGAAGAAATGGGGCTTTAAAAAGGAAGCAGTCCCGGGCCGGGGATTTAGCTCAGTGGTTTCTCCACCTGCTGCGCAAGCGCAAGGACCCAAGTTCAATCCCCAGTACCAAAAAAAAAAAAAGGAATGGAGAGAACTCCAATTGTTACTAAGTCACTACTCGTAGACAAGCTGGATAGCAAAGAAATTCTCAGGAAAAGAGGAATTGGATTTAGCTATGGCACCAGATGGCTTTCATTCTCACCACTGACTCAACCCTGAAATAATTATATTTCAGTATGGCAATTATAATCCAAACTATACAAACACACTATAAACACAAACCCTGAGCAGATGAAACTCCAACGTGGAAAAGGTAATGACTGGGGAAGAAGGAGCCTGAAGACAAAACAGGGGTGGAGGGAGAGCAAACTCCAGCCCGCCTCTCTTGGTCCCGATGAGAGTGAGTGCTTACTATAAAAGTCATTCAAGGGGCTCAAGCAGTTTTCAGACCATAACAGGCAATATTTTGAGCCTATTACATATTGGCATTTTGAGCTCTCAACAGATAATACACTGAATAAAGAAATTAAGATTTAGGTTTAAAAAAAGAGAAACTGTAAATTCATTTTAGCAATTTTTTTGAAAGTCTGAAATTTTATAGTCACATGTAAAAAGGTAGAAAAAGCTACTAATTATCTTAAATAATAGCCAGCTGAGACAGGCATAGAGGCACACACCTGTAGTCCCTGCTTTTCGACAGGATCATTTGAGTCTCTGAGTTCAAGACCATCCTAGGAGCTGGGCATGGAGGTGCACACCTATCACCCAGCACTTGGGAGGCTGAGGCAGGAGGATCACCCTGAGTTCAAGGCCAGCCTGGGCTACAAAGTGAGACCCTGGCTCAAAACCCAAAATCAAAACCAGACCAGCTTAGGTATCCCAGCAAGACTTTGTCCAAAAAACAAAGAAAAAGGACCCTGAGCCCTGTAAAATAAAAACCTTTGGGTGCAGCTCCAAGACAGAACATTTGTCTAGCATGCACAGGGCTCTGAGTTCAATGCCCAGGACCAAAAAAATGTTAAAAAGAGAGAAGCAGGTATATCCCCTACCTGTAATTTCCCATAGATTAGTTTACGCTGGAACAGTGACTATAATGGACAGTTTTAGTTTTAAAATTATCACAAGTTAGCCTTTAGCCTATTTGTAATAGAAAAAACAGAGAAAAAAAAAAAGAAGCTGGAAAATACCCGATAGCTGACAGAAAATAAAAATTGAACAGTAACTTTCATTCCTGCATCTTTAATTTTTATGTATCTGAGTTTTTAAATTGATGGTTTAATTTGGCAGAGAAAGAACATTACATTTTTATGACTGAGTCCCACGGGAATGCAAAATAAATGTACCCAAATGGCACAGTATCAAAGAGTTTTGATCACTCTATACGTATCATGAGTAAGTTTTGTGCTTTTTCAAAAGCAAATTTCTTTCCTACAATTTTATTTCCTACTTCTGTGATGCTGATGTTTCCTAAATGAGGCTGTAAATCTCATTTAGCTCTTGTTTTAATTTGGCTGAAATGTTGAGAGGGTAGTGAGCGGATGGTTACTTACAAATCCTGTATCTCCAAAAACACAGCTTGCCGATCCCAAATCTTAACTTGATTCCAAATATGAAAAACAACTTTGCTAAAGCACAAAAGCAAATTTACTTGAATTTTCCCTCCTTCACTGAGGGTCGGGGCAATTGACACAACTTTTTCAACTTATTTTTTGAATGTTACCCACTACTAACCATCACCATTAAAAAAAATACTGGTGCCACTGCCTGCCTTGCAAGCAGAAGGTCCTGAGTTCAATCCCTGGTACCAAAAAAAAAAAAACCCAAGAAAGAAAAAATACATAGGGGAGTTGGGCATGGTGGCACATTACCATAAGCCCAGCACTCTGGGAAGCTGAGGCAGGAAGATTACAAGTTTGACCCCAGCTGGGTATCTCAGTGACTGAGACACTGTCTCAAAATAAAAAAAGGGGAAACCAGGCATAGAGGTGCAAGCCTGTAATCCTAGCACTTGGGAGGCTCAGACAAGGAGGACTGCTGCAGGTTCAAGGCCAGCCTGGACTATATAGCAAGGCCCTGTCTCAATAAATAAATTAAGTAAAACAAAACAAAATAAAAATTTTAAAAGGCTGGGATGTAGCTCAATTAATAAGAGCATGTAGTGAGCATGCTCAATTATGAAATAACTGTATTTCAGCAAGAGACTCTGGCTTCCATCCCTAGCAGCAAAAACAGGAGCTGGGGATGTAGCTCAGTGGCAACGTGCCTGCCTTGCAAGCACAAGGTCCTGAGTTCAATCCCTGGTACCAGAAGGAAAAAAAAAAAGACAAATAAAGCAAAGACAAATAAATAAAAGACAAACAAAAATTAGCAAAGAAACAATCTAGTTTATCATTTAATTTAGTTTATTGAGTGGCTAAATACATCCTAGATACTAGTCTAAATACTGAAGATACCAAATTAAACAAAAAAAAAAACCTTGTCTGCTCATGGAGTTCATGTTTTGTGGGTGTTGGGTGTTGAAAAGGATGAAATAATTACATGGAACGTCAAGACAGTTAACAAATGTTAGAGGAAAATAAAGGAGGGAAGCCGTGCAGAGAGTGTGTCCCAATTTTAAACAGGGTCATCTGAAGGTGGCTCTTTCCAAAGGTGATTTGTGTTTTTAAGCCACGGTCATCAAAGGAAGAGCGTTCTAGCGTGGGAACAGCAGGTGTGAGGCTGTTAAGGGCCAGAATCAAATGCCGGGTTGACAGAATGGTAGTTCAGAGTGCAGAGGCAATGATTCTAACTCCATCATGATTCTCACCAAGAGATCCTGAATGTGGATTTTCATTTACTTTGTAAATTTAAGAGAAACTGGAAAGCTCATCTAATTACTGCTCAGGGTTTTTAACCTTCTCAAAGCAATGCTTTAATTGTATTTATTTTTCCCAGTGCTGGAGACCTAGAGCATGGTAACCAAGTGTTCTATCCCCAGCCTCAAGAAATGCTTTTGTTGGGGTACCAGGGATTGAACTCAGGACCTTGTGCTTGTGAGGCAGGCAGCGGAACCACTCAGCTAAATCCCCAGCCAAGAAATGCTTTTAGTTTTTGTTCTTTTGTACCGGGGACCGAACTCAGGACCTTGCACTTTCCAGGCAGGCGGTGGAACCACTGAGCTAAATCCCAAGTCCAAGAAATGCTTTCAAATGCGTCAACAAAAAAGTATGTGCCCAGCCCAGGCAACACAGCCAAGCCCTTGTCTCAAAATAAATAAGGATAAGGGCTGAGGCTTTAGCCTGGGACTTAATCCTTGGTAAGGAAGGAAAATAAATTGATTAATTTTAAAAAGGCCTTCCTGAACACACACACACACACACACACACAAACACACACGAGTCTTTTAGGGTAACAAAAATGTCCTATACTTGATTGGGTGGGGCTCTGCAGCTATACCCATCTGGCAACACCCCTTCGTGCTGGGGATGTAGGTTACTGTTCAGGGTGGTCTGGCATGCAAGAGGCCCAGAGTTCAAGCCCCAGTACTCCAAAAACAAAGCAATAACAAAAACCAACTCATGGCCTTGCACAGCTAAGGATCTCTGAATTCCACTGTTTGCAAATTAAACTTCAATTAAGAAAGAAAAGTGAGGCCGGGAATTTAACTCAGTGGTTCCACCATCTGCCTGACAAGCGCAAGGACCCAAGTTCGATCCCCAGTACCGAAAAGAAAAAGAAAAGAAAAGTCTTGGGCTGGGGATTTAGCTCAGTGGTTCGCCACCTGCCTTGCAAGCACAAGGTCTGAAGTTCAATCCCAGGTAAAAAGAAAAGTCTTGAATAGTGTAGTCCCTTCTTCAATTTACAGATGGAGAAAAACAAAGGCCCACTCTGACCCAGCTGTGCCAAAAGCTTCAATGAGCCGCAGTATTCCTGCTTAAATGTACAAAGAGCCAGCTTCAGTCAGAAGTTCCCCCAAAGACCACACCCTGTGGGCCATTATCAATGGATGGATGTTTTGCCATTATCAATGACAATCGAGCAAGTTTTGGGGCTGGACAAAAAGCTCAAGTCCCTTAACCCACACTGAATCCCAGCCCCAGTGCGGAACCCACCCAGACTGACCGTGTGGGCTGGGAGAGAGGTACTGTGCCAGTGAGAGGTTGTTGGGGGTGGGAAGCAGAGGGGAGGAAGAGGAGTAATACTTCCTGTGGTTCTTAAAGGTCTTCCATTAAGAAAAGCAGGAAGAAAAAAAAAAGAAAAGCAGAAACTTGGGGCCGGGGAATTTCCGGCTGCCTTGCAAATGCAAGGTCGGAGTTTGATCCCCGGTACCAAAAAGAAGAAAAGAAAAGCAGATTGATCTTTTTTTTTTTGGTACCAGGGATTGAACTCAGGACCTTGCGCTTTTGAGGCAGGCTCGGTGCCACTGAGCTAAATCCCTGGCCCAGCAGCCTGACCTTAATGGATACAGTTCATTTTTTTTCTACTTGCTATGTCAAGTCTAATCTACTCATTTGTTTAGGAAATAATCATATAAGGAAGATCTTAAATTAATAAATTTCTTTGTTGACTTACCAGATTGGACACTCTAAGATTTTCTGCATGGCATTAAGGACATTTTGTACTTCTTCAACATGAACTGTTGACAAATCCATTTCTTTCTGTTCCATTTAACTTAAACACATAAATTTTAAAACATAAATCACTTTAAATGATTTATAAAACCAGGAGATACCATCTTTAATCAGGAAAAATTTTAAAATTGAAGTGCTTTAGAAATATACCATGGAACTAATAATAACATCCCCTTAAAAGAATTTTTTTGAGATAGGGTCTCACTTTGTAGCCCAGACTGGCCTTGAATTTGTGGCGATCCTCCTGCCTCAGTCTACCAAGTGCTCAGATGGGCCTGCACCACCATGCCTGGCTCTTAAAAATATTCTAATAGGGCCAGGGATTTAGCTCAGTGGTTTCGTCACCTGCTGCACAAGCGCAAGGACCTGAGTTTGATCCATGGTACCAAAAAAAAAAAAAAATTCTAACAGTTGCTTTTTGAATTTAGGCAATTTACATTTTTTGCTTTTTCAAATATAGCATCCAACCCCTTCCTTTGGTCTTTTCCTTTGTCCAAGGAAAGGAAGGTCACAGAGAGGAGGCCAGCTTCTCTCATCCTTTTTTTTTTACTTGCTTAACAAATGAATAAAGAAACTGTAGTAATTACACACAATGGAGTACTACCCTGCCACAAAGAAGGATAAACTTGAGGCAACCGTACGCAAATGGATGCACCTTGAGACCATAATATTAAGTGAAATAATCAGACACACAAGCTTAACTATCATATGGATTCTCTTACATAAGAAACTCAATATAGGGCCGGGGATTTAGCTCAGTGGTTTTGCCGCCTGCTGCGCAAGCGCAAGGACCTGAGTTCGATCCCTGGTACAAAAAAAAACAAAACAACCCACACAAAAAAGAAACTCAATATACAGTATATATGGGGGGGAGCAGAAAATAGAAGATTGGGGCCTGGGATTTAGCTTAGTGGTTTCGCAGCCTGCTGAGCAAGCCTAAGGACCCGAGTTCGATATCCAGCACCCCCCAAAAAGAAAAGAAAATAGAAGATTGGTAAATAGGAAGTAGGGAGATCTTTTTCAAATGGATGGGAGGAACAAGAAGTGGGGAGGAGGGGAAGAAAAGGGGATGGGAAAAAGTATTGAGGGGAGAAAAATGATAAAAATAGAGCTTTTTCCAAACGGGCAGGGGACCAAGAGGCGGAGGGTGTAGGGAGGGCGGGAGAGGGAAGGGGTAAGAACTAAGATGAATCCTCCAAAATACCAACTTTCGCCGCCCACTAACGTGACCACTGTGTACTTTCAACACGTACACCACAAAACAGCCGGGCGTGGTGGTGCACGCCAGTTATTCCCAGCACTCGAGGCTGAGGCAGGAGGATCGCCGCTAATTGGAAGCCAGCCTGAGCTACATACTGAGTTCAAGACCACCCTGAACTACGCAGTGAGACCCACTGTCAAAAAACCCACCCCCTCTCCTCCAAAAAAACCCACCCCAACACTACACCAAGCAAGGCGCGGTGTCCAGGACCCCAGGCCACTCGGGGAGCTGCGGCGTGGGTGGGGATCGTTCGACCTGGGGGAGGCGGTGAGGCCCCAGCAGCCAGAGCTCCCCTCCTCCCGCATCTGCTGCAGGCCTTCCCCAGCCCCTCCCAGAGCGCCGACGATCCGTCCCCCCGGGACCACCAGGGAGCCCAGGCCGGCCGCGCCCCCCGCCCCTCCCTCGCGGGCGACCCGGTTCGCCCGGATGCCCTGCCCAGGCCCTGCCCGGCCTCTCCTCCCTCCCAGCCCGCTCTCCTGCCGGCCTCAGCCGCATTCCAGTTCCAGTCTCCAGGATTCCCGCCGAACACAGGGGCCCCGCCTCGCCCCTCCCCGCTCCTTCAGGAGGCCGCCAGTTTCCTGCCGGCCGCCAGGAGCCCCAACGGGCACGTTTCCTTTCCCTGGGAGTGTCCAGCTTTACCAAGGACAGAGCGCTCGGGGTCCCCACGCCCGAGGTCCCAGTTGTCTGAGAAGAACCCCGACCGCGTTCGGCCCGGAAAGCTTCTGAGAACTCACGCTGCGCAGCCGCAGTTTCAATTTATCTGTAATTCCCGCGCTTTCTGTCGCCACGGTAAGCAGAGGCTGCCGCAGAGCGTTAACCTCTCACGACGCTAGAGGAAAGCACGTAAACGGAAGGGCGGGGCACAGAGTGCTCAGAGTCTTCTGGGCTCCGGATTGGTCGCCCAGTCTTTCCGTGCGTGACGTAAATAAAATCAGCCAAGGAGCCACCTCCCTCGTCCCCCCCCCACCTCTAGGCTTCCAGTTCCGGCTTAATACGTCACAGTTTCCTACAGGGGTTGGAATGCCTAACAGAGGTCCAAAGGTGAGCGCAGGATAGTGCTCCATGCAGTCTTAAGAAGGGGCTCCCTCCCCTTACCTACTGCAATGGAAGTCTTAAGCGTGGGCAAATTAAAAAAAAAAAAAAAAAAAAAGAAGAGCGTGAGTAACAAGACTACAACTCCCGACCTGCATTGCGAACGGTCTTCGCCACAGTGTTCTTTGGAGACTGTAGTCCTAGGAAGATACTCTTCCAACGCCCGAAACGAGCGCGATTACCACCACAACCCCTTTGATAGACTGAAGACATTCTCACGATTATGCACGTCGACAGGTATGGGTGGCACTGTTGTTGTGTTGTTTTTGTTTCTTACTAGCAGGCTAGGCTAAAGAACATAAAAACCCTAGGAAGACTACGATTCCCATGCAGCTCCGCGAATCCCGGCAAGTAGTCCTCCAAGGTCGCGGATCGGCGGGACGCAGGGGAGCGGTATTGGATAGAGGAGGAAGTCTGCGGTCTGCGCCTGCACACTCGGTCTGCGCCTGCGCACTCGTAGTTCTGACCCTCCACCCCTGGGTTTGTTATTGTTGTGAGGGTCAGCTGGCTGTGTCCGCCCCCGCCAACGCAGCCTGGACCAATAAATAGGGCAGTGCTTTTGAAGGACAAGCTGTAGTAGCCAATCGCCTTGTGAGGAACTCAGAGGCAACGAGGGACTGGGCCCCGTCTCTCTCCGCCATGTTAGTTGCGCCCCGCAGGGGTAGCCGTTGAGGTGGCGGAGGGTTTTCTGTGCCCAGGCCTGCGGCAGGCGCCCCCCCCCCCGGGGGACGGAAAGCGGGTAAGAAAGTGGCTGCGGAGACCTGGGGGTGGGGTCACGTCACTCCTGGAAGGCTGGAAGATGTTCTGGGGCTGGGGGGGTCGTCCTGCAAACTGCTGTGACTTTTCCGTGTTCAGGGGTAGCGACCTCTGCAGTGGCCGCCTAGAAAGCCACTGTGTCCTGTGGGACAGGGGTATGGAGAGTCTGGGCTCTGATCGCCAAGGGAGACGGAGATTCCCCTAGGCAAAGAAAACGAGAGTCCTCGCGGGTGGTAACACAGTCTTGGGTACGTGGAGTAGGAGGAAAAGTGGACGGCGAGGATTGCGTGTGGAGGAGAGAAAGGGCAGCGCCCGCACACGCTCCCTTCCCCATCCTCGTCCTCGTTGGGGAACCCTCCTTTAAAGAAGAAATCGCCTCTGTCGGTGTACCTTTTTGTCAAAAACACAGCTTTCAGGACACGCATTTTAAAGCCCAGAGAGCTCATTCAGGCCCCTTCTGTAACCCGTAATCAGAGCTGGGGTTCCCAGGTTTATTTCATTGAAGGTAATTGCTCAGGTTGAAAGTCGATGTAGAGGAAAAGTTGACTTATGCCAAGTGGAAGTGAGTCAGTGGCCTGGATTTACAGTAGCGCCAGTTGAGGAAGCTGAAGGCTTAGGCCGCTGCGACCTGACTGCTCTGTGCTGGCTTTAAACCTCCAGGGACAGATGGGGCTAGTTTTGGCTCTGGGATTTCCACAAGTTCAAATGGAATGCTCCTAAAGAGTTTTCACATGTAAGCCAGAGAGAGATGGGCAGTTCTTAATGAAGACCTGGACGTGATCCAGCTAAACTAGAATCTCCCACTTCCTGTTTCCTCCCATTGGCAGATCGCCTGGATGAGCTCCAAAGTATGGAAACTAATTTCTAACTGTGTCGCTTGAGAAAAAGAGATTAGTTTCCTTCCAGACTCCTTAAAGTGTGGAAGTGTGCTTCTTGAAATTGGAAAGTGAGAATGTATTTCAGGATGTCCAGTTTGAGTAGAATGAATCATCGGTCACTTTTCATTTCCCTGAATTTTTGCCCAGTGTCCTGTGGGATTTTCCCCAAATGTTAAGGACCCCAAGAATTGCATACCATGTGAGTGAATACTGGCCGTCAGCAGAATTGGTGCTACAGACTGGCTTTATTTTGGTGATGCATTTACTTCTAGGTGAAGGCAAAGAATAGAAAAATAGTGGTGTCTGACTGTCTGGGTTTGAAATGACCCCTGATCTTCACAGAGTTCAAGGTCCTTAAAATGACAATTTCATGGAGCACTGCATTACACTGTGAAAAACTATTAAGGAACTAAGGACTAATTTTTTTTTTTTTTGAGACAGGGTCTTGCTTTGAATTTCAGGCGGGCCTCCAACACTCAGTGATCCTCCTGCCTCAGCCTCCTGAGTGCTGGGATCACAGGCGTTGCGCCAGCACTCCCACTTTAACACTGACTTATTATAAAAACTTTGCATTTGAATATTGTTTTCAAAGGACTTGCACACACTTTGTTTCAGTGCCGTGGAGTGAACCCATGGTTTTTCTTATGCCAGCACACGCTGTTCCACTGAGCTCTAACCTTTGCTCCCTACTCTATTTACATTTGATTCCTGTACAGTAATAACACTAGAAGGTGGGCAAGGGCAACCCAGTTTTACAGATTAGATGACTGAAGCTGGAGGTGAGCTGACTTGCTCACACTTACGTGGCTCCTGTTGTGCCCAGGGTGTGTCTGGAACCCAAGTCCTCTTGTGACCTCTGCCTCATGACACTGGAAGCTCCTGGGCTTAATTTTGTTCCTCTTTTATCTCCTCCCTCTGCCTGAGGCAAAATCTGACTATGTAGCTGCAGATTAAAAATGTGTTGATGATGACATTCAAACACTTACATTTTTTAGTCCAATTTAGGGTTAACTTTTTTTTCATAAAATCAAAAGCAAGCCAATTCAGCAGGCACAACTCATCAGTAAACAAAATCCCTAATTATATTTTGGGGCCAGGGATTTAGCTCAGTGGCACCGTGCCTGCCTTGCAAGCACAAGGTCATCAATTCGATCCCTGGTACCAAAAAAATAATATATATATATATATGACCAGAATAGATACTTGTTTAAGGAATTGTTTACTTCTCTTTGTTGTTTTTTTTGGTACTGGGGATCGAACTTGGGTCCTTGCGCTTGTGCAGCACACAGTGAAACCACTGAGCTAAATCCCCAGCCCTAGGAATTGTTTACTTCTTAAGTGTCTAATGAGGGCTGGGTTGCAAGGATTCGAGTTCAATCCCAGGTACCATTAAAAAAAAAAAAAGTAATAACATTTTTTTAAAATTCTTGTCTAATTCTTTTTTTAACTTTATTAAGTTTATTGGCACATTTTAGGTATACGTAATGATCACATTCATCATAGGGAATTTGTACCTGTACATGATAGATCTTGATTATTTTTTCCCATTCTCCTCCTCTCTCTTCCACTGCTCTTCCCCTCCTTATTTACAAAAGGCTTGTTTCCATTTTTTCCTTCTTTTCTCATTTTTTTTCCCTTTCCCTTCCTTTCTTCCTTTTATGGAGGAGAGGTTGAAAGTCATGTTAGAATAATCCAGTAAGTGCTGGGCATGGCGGCCCTTGCCTGGAATCCCAGTGCTGTAGGGGGCTGAGGCAGGAAGAGTGAAAATTTGAGCCAAGCACAGGCAATGCAAGAACTGGTCTCAAAAAATAAAAAGGACTCTCAGGAGGCTAAGGATTGCTGCGAGTTCTAGGCCAGCCTGAACTACATAGAGAGACCTTGTCTCAAAGGTAAATAAATAAAAAATAAAAAGGGGTGGGGATGTAGCTCAGTGCAAAGCTGCTGGGTTTAATCCCGGGTTCCAGACGAGCAGAGCACAGTAGGGGCTGGGGATGAGGCTGGCAGAGGAGTGCTTTCCCAGCTTGCTCTAGGCCCTGGTTCAGTCCCCACCTTAGGGGGAAATGTCCTTGTCCAGTAGTGAAGTGGCATTGGTGTGATGTTGGTCCCAAGTTGGTGATTGTGGAAGCCTGATGGGTCCGCCGGGATTTATTGTATTTTCTTTATTTTTGAGTAGGTTTAATTTTTACCATAATGTATAGGTTTTTTAAAAAAAGAGGGCCAGGTATTAAGCTCAGTGGTGCTGCTGCCTACCTCACAACCACAAGGTCACGAGTTTGATCCCCAGTACCAAAAAAAAGAATAGAGTACTAGAGTGTGATAGGGCACACCTCTGATCCCAGCATGTGGGAGGCGGAGGCAGTAGGATCACAAGTTCAAGGCCAGCCTGCTAAATTTAGTGAGGGCTTGTCTCAAAATTTTAAAAAGGGCAGGGACATAGCTCAGTGGTGGAGCATTTGCCTAACGTGCAGGAGGCCCTAGGTTTGGTTCCCAGTACCACACACAACCAAAGATGAGAGTCTGGCTGCAGCCTTAGCTAATGAGGGTCAGTCTAGCATGAGGAGAAGGGAGTGCGCGAGGCTGGCAAGAGAGCTCAGAGAGAAGATGGGGAGATAAAGAATTCCGATGTGTCACAAGCGTGTACCAATCCCATGGCGGGGGTGGTCTTACTGCAAATACAGACTCAAAACAAATTTTTACAGTCCGCTGATTTACCTCAGTGGTTCTTCCTCACAACCGCAAGGTCCCAAGTTGGATCCCCGGTACCAAAGGGGGAAAAAAAAAATTTAAGAGGAGTGCATTGTGCCGGGCATGTGGCGTAAGCCTGTAATCCCAACTCTCAGGAGGCTGAGGCAGGAGGGTCGATTGCTGTGGATCAGAGGCCAGCCTGGGCTCCACAGCGCGGCCCGGTCTCAAAAAACCAGAAAAGGAACCGTATTGCTCTCCTCTCTTGTAAGTTTGACATTCCTCGTTTTAAAAAACCAGTAGACTACAAAAGCATAGTCCTTTGGATGATGGTGTTGAGCATACCCCTTCAGAGCTTCCTGGTTCATATTTTGGCCTCTTAGGTCCTTAAAACTACTCTAGGAGAAAACCTGGGTTGCTCACGTTAGGAAAAGGCTGCCTCGCCTGGAAAAAAGTAGACTGTCACTTTCGAGTCTCAGAAGAATGCAGTCCATCTTAGCCATCTGGGTACCTCCTGCTGCAAATATTTAATTAACCAAGCTCTATAAAGTGCAGCAGAATCCTCAAGAGGTTTTATAAATGCTAGATGATTTCTGTGGGTGTGGTCAAAATAATCTCAGCGGCTTTTTCTTAGTTTTCTTTGAGACACAGTCTCCTTGTGCTGCCTAGACTGGCCTTGAGTTCCTGGGCTCAGGCAGTCCTCCTGCCTCAGCCTGCCACGTAGCTGGGGGTACAGGTGCACGGCACTCTGCTTCTCTGGTTCCTAATAACTGAAGAGCAGTTTTGTGGCCCATTGAAGTGCAAGTCTTTGAGGCATGGTTTGAGCACTACTCTGTTTCTTAAAGGAACAATTCCTATGTAACAGATTAGCTTTCCTGCTAGATTTTATGTTTGTGAAAGCAGGGACTGTAACAAACGGCGTGGAGGAACGAGACTACCCCATCAGTGTGGTGAGGCCATAGAGGTACAGACTGTTCACCTGGGCACAGGTGGACTGATGGCAGGCCAGAGGCCACCACCCCCAAATAGAGTAAAGGCAGAAAGCTTTATAGGGCATTGGGAGAGAGGGTGGGCACAGGTGTCAGAGCAAGTATTTGTGGTGGGGTCCATGCAGCGGTAGAGGCAGGTGTGTGGATGTTTTCGGGTGACTTGGCATTGAGAAGATGCTGTCCTCGTAGCTGTTGTCTCTATGCTGGGAACAGCCCGTCGCATGTTCTGTGTCCGAGACACCACCTGCATGGGCTGCCTATTTTGTTGTGGTTTTTGCATCGAGTCAAACTGCAGCTTGGAATTGCAGCGCATATCCATTAACCATTTCCTGACCAGGTCAAGCCTGCCAGGGACTTTGTTTTCTGCTCACTCTTGTCTTCCAAGATTTGTTGAATGTGGTTTATGGGACTTACAGAAACTTCCTAATGTGCTGTGTTCTCTTCCCCCTTGCTCTCGACTCCAGCCCCACAGCATGGAACCACAGGTCACTCTGAATGTAACTTTTAAAAACGAGACACAAAGCTTTCTGGTTTCTGATCCAGAAAACACAACTTGGGCTGACGTTGAAGCTATGGTGAGTGTTCTTTATTTTGTTTCTGTCTTAAGCATGGGTGTGTTTTCCAAAGGTATCCATTTTCAGCAGTGTTATTTCCAGCTGTTAGGTCTGTCATATGACCATTTCTGGGCCTTTTGGAACATTGTTTCTGACAGAGGTTCAGTGTTCCTGTGGGTGAGATGGGCCCCAATCTAGGGAGCACATACACAAGTCTCTTCTGAAGAGCTTAGAAAGAGAAGGTAGGGGCCAGGGATTTAGCTCAGTGGTTTCGCCGCCTGTTGCACAAGCGCAAGGACCTGAGTTCGATCCCCGGTACCAAAAAAAAGAAAGAGAAGGTAAAATTACTCTTTAAGCAAGCTGGGATTTAGAAAACCTACTTATTTTAGAAGCAGTCTGAGGAATGAATGGTTGGCCCCAGGGAGTGTCTGCGAGCAGAGGCCCTACTGTCTGCCAGTGGCCTGGAGGTATGGAGCTGCTGTTGTGCAAGAGCCCAGGGGTTGCTTTTATTGCGGGTCAGACGGGCCTCCTGGGGGTGCTTATGAAGCAGTCAGACCCTACTTTCCTCCTGTCGATTTGCCCTTTGGACTGTTCTGACTGTTGGGTTTACGGTGTTGAGCGGTTTCCTTCACATATGCCTACCTCCCTCCGAGGCTTCACAGCGCACCACGATGCCTGGCTCGGCCTTGAATGGTGCTTTGCAGAAGGGCTTTAGCACTGAAAGACCTTTATGTCAGTGCCCTGAAGTTTTGACAACACTAGGTGTTAGTGCTTTAACAATGTTTGCTATTCTGATGAGATGATCTTACTGGTTTTTGTTTTTCATTTTTGGTACTGGGATCGAACTTGGGACCTTGCGCTTTCAAGGCAGGCACCAGAACTACTGAGCTAAATCCCTAGCCCTGATCTTACTGTTTTAATTTGCCTTGTTCTGACCACAGGTGAAGTGGAGCTTTTCCTACGTTAAATACTCTGATTTCCTCTTTGAATCTTCTGTACATTGTGCCCATTTTTACCTGGTTTGCTCATCCTGTTACTACCAGTTTTACAGATGTGCTGTGTCGTAAGCAGTAAGCTTTTGTTTGTTATCAACGGCACATTTTCCTAGTCGGTGGTGTTTGATGTTGTGGTGTTTTTGTTCTTTGTGCTGGGGATCAAACCCTGGGCCACACTCAAGCTAAGTGAATGCTCTACCAGTGAGCTACATCCCCAGCCGTTGTAGCATTTACCATATAATCTTTTTTTTTTTGAGACAGGGTCTCGCTGTGTAGTTCAGACTGGTCTTGAACTCACTATATAGCCCAAGCTGGCCTCAAACTCACCAAAATCCTCCTGCCTCAACCTCCCAAGTGCTGTGATTACAGGCATGGGCCGCCATACCCAGCTAGGCCAAATTGACCTTGAACTCACTATGTTGTTCAGTTGGCCTTGAACTCAAAATTCTCCTGCCTCAGCTTCCTTAGTGTTAGGATTACAAATGTAATCCCAGCAAAAAGAATGTTTAATATTTATATAGTAAAATATGCCTGCCCTTTTTCTTTTTGACAGTACTGGGCATTGAACCAGGACTGCATGTATGGTAGACAAGCACTCTAGCATTGAGCTACTCTCCACCCCTGAATGCCCTTTCTTTTCTGATTTCTGAGTTTATGTTATGGCCTCCTTTTTGATACCTTAATCCTGTAATACATGTATTTCATTTGCAGGTAAAAGTTTCTTTTGATCTGAACACTATTCAAATAAAGTACCTGGATGAAGAGAACGAAGAGGTAAAGTACATTATGGCCCCATTGCTGGGTGTTCAGACTAGAGGGTTTTAGGGGGATTTTTTTGAGACGGGGTCTCACTATGTAGTTCAAGTTGGCCTTGAACTCACAGCAGTCCTCTGGCCTCATCCGCCCAAGTGCTGACATTACAGGAGTGTGCCACCACACCAGGGCAGAATAGAGTTATTTTTCTAGAGTGGGATGGGGCTTGAAGAGTTTAGAGTGGTATTTATCTCATTTGTGTGATGACTGAGTGTTGCTTGATAATTCAACAGAGATGGAACTGGGAAATAGGAAAGGAGTGTTGAAGTATTTGTGAGATAAATTTAAATAAATTTAAATCAGCCAGGTGTGAGCTGAGCATGGTGGTGCTCACCTGTAATCCCAGTCCACATTCAGAGGCTGGGGCAGGAAGATGGAGGCCAGCCTGAACTATGTAGCAAGACTCGGTCTCAAAAAAAAAACCCAAACAAAATTTAGCCGGGTGTGATGGGACACAACTGAAATCCCAGATTCTGAGGCAAGAAGATCGCTGGGAGTTTGAGGCCAACCTGGGCAACAGAGTGAGTTCAAGGCCAGCCCGAACTATATGCCGAGACCCTGTCTCAAAAAGAAGAAAAAGCCGGGGATTTAGCTCAGTGGTTCTGGCGCCTGCCACGCAAGCCCAAGGTCCTGAGTTCGATCCCCGGTACCAAAAAAAAAAAAGGGCCTGGGGATTTAGCTCAGTGGCACCATGCACCCCTCAGAAGTGCAAGGTCCTGAGTTCGATCCCCTGTATGGGGGGTTACAATTATGAAGTGATCTTAGGTTCAACATAGCACAAGCCAGGGGCCCGGGATTTAGCTCAGTGGTTTCGCCACCTGCTGCGCAAGCGCAAGGACCTGAGTTCGATCACCAGTACCAAAAAAAAAAAAAAAACATAGCACAAGCTGCCACTTAGTTTTTAATAATACAAGAACAGTGACCACCTTTTATTCAGAATCACAGCAGTGCTGTGTATCAGGCGCATTATTATTATTGCTATTTTACCCACAGGAAACCGAGGTACCTCGAGGTTAAGGAACTTGCCCAAAGGCACAAAAGCTTGAAAGTAGTGGGGTGGGCTTTATCCAAAGCCTCTGCCTCCAGAGCAAGCCAGATCACTGTAGCACATTGCCTCTTGGTGTAGCTGAAACAAAGGAGGGCACAGTACTTAAGCAATAGGGTTTCTAACATTGTTCGTGGCTGCCACGTGGTCCTAGAAGAGCTGGGGCCGAGACAAGCCAGGTCCTTGTAGCAGAGATGCTCAGGTGATGACGAGACACTTAGAAGTCACTCTTGATTTTTTTCTCTTTGCAGATATCCATCAACAGCCAAGGTGGGTCCCGCAGAGCCTGGGAGGCTTCACCAGAGGCCTCAGTGTGCTCCCCAGGCCTTTCCGTTTCCACGCAGTCATGGTCCCATAGTGTACTTTTCAGAACAGAATGTGATGTGTTACACACGCACACTGCACTCGGTCGTGCTGGGTGTCTTCCCTGCAGTAACCAGTTGCTATGTGTACATAGCGTCCAGCGGTGGCACACAGCACGTCCTACAGGGAGCTCCTACTGCGTGTGTTGTGTATGTAGGATGGTGCTTTGATTGTTCTTCAGGACAGCTTTCGTGGGGGACGTGGGTGTTGAGGGTGCGATACTGCCCAATGTGGCCAGTGTAGCTTGTCCTCCGGCGCGCCATGTGTGCCTTGTCAGTGTGTGAGTGGCAGTGTTCCCACAGTGTCCTTGGTGGGTGGGGCTTGGAGCGCGCTTTCCCGGAATGCTGCAGCCGGGCGGCCCGAAAGCTGTCACTGGGTAGATGACATAGGGGCCAAGGATCTAGCTCAGTGGCACCTCGCCTGCCTTGCAAGCACAATGCCCTGAGTTTGATTCCCAGTACCCAAAAAACAAAACATAAATGACACAGTATCCCCAGTTCCCCTGACCTTGTGCAGCTGGGTTGAGATTTTGTAACTGGCATCTCCAGGAGCAAGGAAAGGGGTTCAGGGAGGAGAATTGGTCTGCAGTAGCTTCTACTCTCGTGGAAGGGGAAAGGAGTTTGTCAGCAAAACCCAGTAGCTTCTGCTAACATGTAAGGATTGCAAGCTAAGGATTCCTAAGAGCAGCATTTGGGTGTCAACATTATGTGTGCATAAGACGATGTAAGATAGGTACAGTGAAATTGTTACCATAGTGAAACAATGCAGTTACCCACTCCCACCCTCCTTTGGCAAGAGCAGCTACCATCTACTCCTTCAGCAAGAATCTGAATACATGGGGCGGGATTCAGCTCAGTGGTTCTGCTGCCTGCCTCGCAAGCGCACGGTCCTGAGTTCGATCCCCTGTACCAAAAAAAAAAATCTGAACATAGCTGAGCATAGTGGCGCCTGCGGCAGGAGGATCGAAGCAAGTTTAAAAGCATCCTGAACTACATAGCAAGACCTTATTTCAAAAAAATAAAAAGAATTCTGAATACAATACACTGTTACTAACTATAGTCTTAAGGCCATACATTAGATTTTTAGGAGTGACTGTGTTTAATAGAATCTTAAGAGCCGATGAAGAAATATCACTATTTTTTTTCCCCTCTTTTAGGAGAATATGAAGAAGCACTTAAGGTAATGGCTATTGTGTTTCATTTTCAAATGATTTCAAAAATGTTTATTGATTCAAACTTGAGGGCTGAGGTGTAGTTCAGTAGCACTGCAAAAAACAAAAACAAAATTTGAACTTGACGTTCGTTGGGAACTAGGAAATGCAAACACAAGGAAACGAGTTTTCTAGGTGGCCGTGGGGAGCAGGCCCTGTTGCTTGGCAAAAGGCAGCTCCTGATAAAAAGGTTTTTCCTGTTTCTGCTCCTCTCGTCGCTCGTCTTGGTGCCACCAGCACACATTTAATAATACGGAAGAAGTGGTGTGGTGGTGTGTGTGCACCTGTGGTCCCAGCTATGCCAGAGGCTGAGGCGGGAGGCTTGCAAGTTCAAAGCCCACCTGGGAACTCAGCAAGACCCAGTCTCCATTTTCAAAATATGGAAGGGCTGGCTGGGGACATAGCCCAGAGGTAGAGGGCTGCCTGCCCTGCTCGAGGCCCTGGGTTCAGTCCCAGTACTGCCAAGACACCCAGCTCTTGAGGCACATAGGAGCTCATGAGTTTTGTTGTATTTATTTACTTTTTCCTCAGTCCTGGGGATCCAACCCAGGGCCTCACCCAGCTGAGGCAGCCTTCCACCTCCAAGCTGTGCCCCAGCCCGACACACTGTCCTGATGACGCATTTGTTGTGAGCCAATCACCCACAGTCAGGCTAAGTGTCTCCTGGGGAGGAATGCTATCCCCAGGGCTGGGCGTGGTGGTGCACACCTGTCCTCCCAGCACAGGTTCCAGGCCTGGGCTACACAGTGAAACCCTGTTGCAACAAAAAAAAGAAGTCTTAAGTCTAATGTATAAAAATAGATATGGGGCTGGGGATTTAGCTTAGTGGCACTGTGCCTGCCTTGCAAATGTAAGGTCCTGAGTTTGATCCCCCGTATCGGAAAAAAATAAAAATAGGTAATTGTGGGTGACGATTGGGACTGCTGACTTGGCCCCAGGTTTCTTCCTAGACCGTGAAGTACCTCATGGAACCTCAGATGTTTCTTGTTTTTTTGGTACCGGGGATCGAACTCGAGTCCTTGTGCTTATGCAACAGGCAGCGAAACCACTGAGCTAAATCCCCGGGCCCTTCAGATGTTTCTTGAAGTAGTTTGAAAAGTAGGATTTCTACGAAGGCTTTATTCAGAAAGATGTGACTACTTTAGCTTGCTCTCTAGTCCTTTTTTTTTCCAGCTAATATTCTTGACAGGGCTGGGGATGTCCCTCAGTGGCACTGTGCCTGCCTGGCAAGCTCAGGGTCCTAAGTTCGATCCCTGGTACCAACAAAAAAAATTTCTTGGCAAAGAAATAGCAGACTGGGTATTAGCAGTGTTAATACTATTGAGTTAATAAGTATCTGAGTATCTGTTAGCCTTCGTGCTTGGGACAAGTGTTTGGCTTTGGCTTTTGGATTCTGGGGTGTTTGCATATGGACAGTGAAATGTCTTAGGAAGGGACTCAAGGCTGCACTTGGAGTCCACATGTGCCTGCTGCAACTGTGAGGGTGCAGCCTGACAGTAGCTTGTGGCGGTCCTTTTTACCCCACCAGAGTTTCCACTGCAGTTTGTCCGAAGGTCAGGTGTGGAATTACCACCTGTGGCGTCAGGTTGGCGCTCAAAAAGTCTCAGATTTCTTAGCATTTCCGATTAGGGATACTGAACCTATATACGCATTTAATAATGAAAATAAGCCAAGCATGGTGGTGCCCTCCTTTAATCTCAGCACTCTAGGAGCCAGAGGCAGGAGGGTCACCACAAGTTGGTGCCCAGCCTTGGCAACTCAGTAAGACCCTGTTTGAAAATCAGAAGCAAAAATGGGCTGGGGATATTGCTCATCTGAAGGCCTTGCGTTCAGACCCCATATGCAAAAGCAGGAGGGGAAAACCTGGTATTTCCTAACACTCTTCCTTCCTCTTACGGGCTTTAAAATTCCACCTGTGCAAGGCGACTCACATGGTGGTTCTTGTTTCCTAACGTGCGCCCAGATGGCGGTGAAGCAGGGAAACCAGCTGCAGATGCAAGTCCACGAAGGGCACCCTGCCACCACCACCACTGCCACCACTGCTTCTGCTGCTGCCGAAGCCCCAGCCCTGCCGAGGGCAGAAAGATGCGCAGCTCCCAGGCCGGGGAAGAAGCCAGTCGCACACTACTCCTCCCTGGCGAGAGCTGTGGGGTCGGGCCTGAGAAGCCCCAAGGAGCCAGCACCCTGGGTATGCAGGGCTGGGCATCTGGCTGGGTCTCCCCACCCTGCTCCTGGCCTGTGATTGTGGGAATCCCTTGTTCATCCCCCTGGGCCCTCTTAGCCATGCATCCTGGCACTTGGACGGCACTGCTGCGAGTGGTGCTTGACTGGAGAAGGGGAGCAGAGCAGGAGAGCAACTTTGTTTTCCTTTTCTGCTTTGAATTGTGGCTGTTAAACCTCATGCTTAGCCAGGTATGGTGATTCATGCCCATGATTCAAGCACTCAGGAGGCCGAGGCAGGAGGATCGCTGCACGTTGGAGGCCAGTCTGGGCTACATGACGAGACCCTGTCTCAGCAAAAAACAAAAAAAAACCCAAACATCATACTCAGAGAATCCAACAGAAGAAACCCCACAATGAGACATTTTGGGGAAATTATCTTGAATAGACAGAGTGAGCTCCGCAATCTTGACTGTGTTTCTGTGCAGCCATTTCCACTTGCTCCGTGTGACTCGGACCACACCCAGGACGGGCCTCCAGACTGGTTCACGAGCTACCTGGAGACCGTGAGTGCCCCCTGCGGTGGGGCCGGGAGCAGCATGAAGGGCCCAGGAGCCTCTGGTGCCGGGGAGGGGCGATAGCTCAGACTGAGGGCCAGAGTGGGTCTGGCCAAGCGCCCTGAGCGCAGAGGAGGAGCCAGTGTGGCAGGGACGCTGACCTCTGCACTCGGAAGGAAGGAAGCGCCCCTCGGTGTGGGCTCGAAGCCGGTCTCACTGAACAAGCAGAGCTTTGGTCACCTTGCTGTTTGTTCGCTCCATGCCTGTTAGTCCCCATTCCTGTCCTTCATAGGAACCGCTGAGGTTTCCAGTCTGTCGCTGTCTTTGCCCCTCTTCTCGGTGTCAGTGCTGAGTTCGCCCACTTCCCACTTTGTGTTTAGTTCCGAGAGCAGGTCGTTAGAGAGACGGTGGAGAAGCTGGAACAGAAGCTGCACGAGAAGCTGGTCCTCCAGAGCCCGTCCTTGGGCCCCTGTGCCTCCGACATCTCCGTGCCTGCTTCAGGGGACATGCTGTTCCTGCCAGAAAACCTGTTCAGTTGGCACATTGCCTGCAGCAGCTGCCGCCGGAGGATCGTGGGCGTGCGCTACCAGTGCAGGTGAGCGGGCTGTGGGCCTCGGAGCAGGGACCTGCCTGCCTTCCAGGTGGGGCAGGGAAGGTCAGTGTCCTTAGTCCATGGGCGGCAGCTGTAGGGGCTGTGGGTTAGAAGTGCAAGCCCTGAAGAGAGTCATCCAGATAGCAGGCGGGTCACGGAGCCAGCTCATCCACACTCCCCGAGGCAGGTTGCTGCGGAGCGGCCCTCGCCTGCTGAACGCAGTCTGTCTTGCTCCCTCCCAGGGGTTGTCCTGGGGACAGATCCAGTGTCATGTCCTGGTTTGATTAATGAGGGACATTAGCCTCTCACAGTCAGGCTTGGGCTCGGGCTCCCCAGAGCGGGGAGCAGAGCAGGGGCAGGCGTCCGCTCAGCGTCTCCCTGTGCCGTCCCGCACTGCGCCCTTCTCCCCACAGCCTGTGCCCGTCCTACAACATCTGCGAGGACTGCGAGGCGGGCCCCTATGCCCACGACACTGACCACATGCTGCTCAAGCTGCGGAGACCTGTTCTGAGTGCCTCGGAACCAGTCTCCCACCCGAAGTCCTCCGCTCCTCGCCTCCCGGCTGCCCTGGAGCAAATCAGGTGAAGCCATAGGCTGGGCAGCTTCGTCTCTGAGGGCTTCTTGGTGGTGATCACCCAAAACACTGGTGATAAACTAACCCGGGGCTGTGTGGTGCCACACGGCGCGCAGTCTCCTGGCTTCCATGTCTGCGCCCTTGGAGCTGCCGCACAGTGATGCCAGCAGTGTCTGAAGGTGGTGGGCAGCATGGAGAGGGGCCCAGCGCTGACAGAGACAGCCCCTGGCTCCACACAGCTTGGGAGTTGTGAGTGCTCTCTTCCTTTAAGATGTTCATGTATTACCTCACAGGCTCCAGAAACAGGTTGATAAGAACTTTCTCAAAGCAGAAAAGCAAAGATTGCGAGCTGAGAAGAAACAGCGTAAAGCAGAGGTTAAAGAGCTTAAAAAGCAGCTTAAACTCCACAGAAAGATTCACCTGTGGAACTCGATCCATGGGCTTCAGAGCCCCAAGTCCCCTCTGGTCCGGCCCGAGAGCCTGCTGCAGCCCAGCACCCTGAGGTGAGCAGGGCCGGGGTGGGGCCGGACGGGAGTCCAGCTGGCAGAGCTAGACTGTCACGACCGCCTGGCTTCTGTCTGTCTTTTTTCCTCTGGGCCCTTTTCTTTCTTTGAGAGGGCATCCCAGGTTGCCCATGCTGCTGTTTAACCGCTGGGCTCAGCACCCCTCAGGCCATGGTCTCCCAAGTCACTGGGCCCGCACATGTGGCCCTGCCTGTCTGGCCCTCCTGTGCTTCACCCCTGACGCTTCTCACACACTGAGCCTCAGCTTCCTGGCGGATGGTCTGGTGATCTTGATCAGGAGGATGGAAACCAGGGAGGCTCAGCAGGTGGCTGTGGCTTCCGCTCTGTGGGCCCTCTGGCCCTGGAGCAGAACCAGCTGTGTTTAAGAGCCGTCCTCTCCATCATGGTTTGGCCCCTCTAGCTGTCCTCACCTTGGGCCTTGGCTGAGGAGTGGGCATCCTCTCGAGGCTGGGTTGGTGTGTGGGGCCGCAGCACAGTGGTGCAGCGCTTGCCTGGCATGCAAGACCCCCCCAGTTCCATCCCCAGCCCCACACCAGTAAGGGAAGAGCGAACGGGGGAGGGCATGCATCAGGGTCACCTTGCAGGAACTCGTCGGGTCACAGCCTCTCAGGCTGGTGTGGGACCAGAAACCTCCAACCCAGGCGAGCACCTGAGCCTCTGAGTCCCCCTCAGGCTCCCCGTGCAGCCCGGTGCCCTGGTCCTGCCGACCTTCAGTGCAGCCTTCGTGGATGAGAACTTGCCAGATGGGACTCACCTCCAGCCAGGAACCAGGTTCATCAAACACTGGAGAATGAAGAACACGGGGAACGTGAACTGGAGCGCGGACACGAAGGTACTGTCCCCGCAGCATAGGCGCGTGCCCTGAGGCTGCAGAAGCACAGCCCATGAGTGCACGGTCTCCGGCCCTGTGCTCCACAGCTCAAGTTCATGTGGGGGAACCTGATGCTGGCGTCTGTGGAGAAGAAAGATGTCCTGGTGCCCTTCCTGGAGGCTGGCCATGTGGGCGTGGTGTCCGTGGAGTTCATCGCCCCAGCCCTGGAGGGGACATACACGTCCCATTGGCGCCTGACTCAGAACGGCCAGCAGTTTGGGCCTCGGGTCTGGTGCAGCATCGTCGTGGACGCTTCTGCCCCCGCAGAGAGCCCCGGCAACACCAGCAAGGGCATGAGCGGCTCCAGCAAAGCCAGGCTCAGCTGCCAGCGGGAGGTGAGTGTGCAGACACCCCGTGTGCTGGGGCTCTTCTCAGAGTAAGAGGGATGAGGACGGCCTGAGCCCGTGCGAGGCTCGAGAGCCTGCAGCCCCTGCCCCTCTGACAGACACGGGGCCTCTGAGCAGAAGGGCTGTCCTCTGCTGCACTGGGAGCCCCGCCACGGTTAGCCCGCCGAGGCTTAGGTCTGTGAGTGGGGAGCATGTGGCGAGGCGGACAATTGCCTGGAGCAAAGGGAGAGGAGGGCCCAGGTACACAGTCCCCTCCGGAGGTCCCCGCCGATCAAGGGCCCTAGACCTTCCTACCGGTGAGTCACCGCCTTGTTTTTTTTTCTTGCAGTACTGGGGATTGAATCCAAGGTCTTTGCATTGAGCCACGTCCCCAGCTCTTTTGATTTTGAGACAGTCTCAGTTACCCGGGCTGGACTCAAACTTGGCAGTCCTCCTGCCTCAGCCTCCTGGAGTGCTGGGAAGACAGCCAAGTGCCACCAATCCTGGCTTTTTTTTCAACATAGAGATTTACCAGTTTTTTTGTTTATTTGCTTATTTTAGGAGGAGACATTGTCAGTTTCTTGCTTGAGTTCTGTTGAGGGCTTAAGATTTGTTCCAACGGCTTGTCTCTGTAGGAGGCCTTTCTCCTGGCTAAAGAAACCCCACTGAGCGAAGTGACTAAAGGGACAGAAGGGACAGGGGCTTGCAACCTGCAGAAGACAAAAAGTGTGGCCAGTGAGAGGGAGCTCTACATCCCGTCTGTGGACCTCCTGACCGCGCAGGTACAGGGTGCAGCCCTTCGAGGGGGGGGAGTGTGGTGTGGGGATAGACACACGCCCACCCTCACCCACACACACGCACGTGTGGAGCAGTGGTTGGCCACCCACCCTGCCCCAGCCAGGTGTGCACTGGGCCCAAGGTCCGTGGAGTTGGGTTTCTGAATGCAGTGCCTGCACTCTGAGTCGGGGCTCACCTGTGGGGCCTTACAGCCGCCCCGGCCGCCTCTGTTCTCCTCTCACACTGCACGTCTTCTCTCCTGCCTGTGAGCGCCTGCCTCCCAGTCAGCTCCGCCTGGTCATGCAGCTGACTCCTGGGGAGAGCAGAGCCGCGGTCAGGGCACCGTGCAGGGGCCCACTGCTGTGGACTCACACGCCATGTTTCTCCTAGGATCTGCTGTCCTTCGAGCTGCTGGACATAAACATCGTGCAGGAGCTGGAGCGGGTGCCCCAAAACACCCCCGTGGGTAAGCCTGCGCTCACGCTGCTTGTCCCTGTTCTGGCAGGCACAGGCTGCAGCCCTGGTTGATGCTGAGGCAGCTGATGGCAAGCATTTCTCCCTCAGAGTGGTAGGAGAGTGGCACCCCGGTTCATTTTCCTCCTTTCCCTGTCGCCTGCCAGAAGCTGCAGTACAAGTTTCTGCAGGGCTTCCTTACTGTGAAGGAACATACTTTGCTCATTTACATTTCATTGTTTATGCCTCGGCCGCAGCCTTCCAGGCCAGGCAGCCGTTGGTGACTGGCTGGTCTGAGGTCAGTGTCTGCCTGGTGGTCCAGGGAAATTAGGACAGGCCCGAAGCGTGCCCCACTCGGGTGTGTGCTAGGCCTGCAGAAGGCGGGATCCCTGTGACCCATGGCCTCACCCTGCCTGGGAAGGAGCCTGCTGCTCCTCAGCTGATGGCCCTGTCTTCACTCTCCAGATACGACTCCTTGCATGTCTCCTCTGCCACATGACAGTCCTTTCCTGGAGAAGCCTGGTTTGGGGCAGATACAGGAGGAGAGTGAAGGGGCGGGCTGTAAAGCACGTCCGGGTAGGTCAGCATCTGCAGTGGGGGCCCTCCCTGTCGCACCGCAGGCCTCCTGCTCCCCTCCCGCCCTCAGCATGCACACAGGTGTCCTGTAGCACCTCACCCTGACACCTCCACCGAGCGGCAACTCCTGACCCAGTAATTCCCTCACCTTGGTGAGGACTGTGGGGCATGCCCAACTGCAAACACCATGTGCCAAGTTCTGGTTCCTTTCAGGCCCCACAGCTCCTGAAAACAGGAAGGTGGAGACCGTGGGCTCGGCGGAGGACGCAGAAGATGACCTGAGTGGGACCCAGTTTGTGTGCGAGACCGTCATCCGCTCTCTGACCCTGGATGCAGCCCCAGACCACAACCCACCCTGCAAACAGAAGGCCCTTCAGCGTGAGTGTGCCCGGCCCTGTCCACCCCACGGCACCTGCAGTGGAGTGAAGGAGTGTTCGGGGCTCCGCATGGCTGTTTCTCGGACTCCCCTTCCCCACCTGACCTTAGAATTGCAGCCTAACTTGCACCTCTACTGCCAGGGTCGGGGCCACAGCTGTACCCCACTGAGGATCAGCGGGCAGCGCAGCACACACACTGCAGCAAAGAGTCCTGTAAGTAGTGAGCACCGCCCATGGGCCCTCTGCCAAGTTGTCTGCTTTCCTGGAAATCTGGGGGAAAGCAGGAGTGCTGAGGTGAAGTTCTGCTTTGAGAAATAACCTGGCAGGAACCTCAGGCTGCCCATAGGTAGAGCAATACTGTGTACTTGAGAGAGTATTCAGAAATTCAGAGCCCGGAGTGGTGGTGCACACCTGTATTCCCAGCACTCGGGAGGCTGCGGCAGGAGGATCACAGCCATTTCAAGACCAGCCTGGGCTGTATAGGGAGACCCTGTCTCAAAAAACAAAAAATTCCAAATTCTGGTGCATAAAAACATCAAGGGATAATAGTTTCCTCGCTCTTGTGACCCACAGAGCTTTCCCAAGCATGGATCGCGCCAGGAGGTGCTCCTAAGCACCTCCTTTCAGCTTGCTTCCTTCCATCCCTTAGTGAACTTCACCTCGCCTGAGGAGGGGTCCCTGGGAGCCGAGAAGGAGGAAATTGTCTGTCTCGCTGAGGACGGAGTAGAGGAGGAGGACACGGAGGAGCTTGGAGAGGTTCAGAGCCAGTCCTCCTGCTCCTCAGAGGACTACATCATCATCCTTCCCGAGTGCTTCGACACCAGCCGCCCGCTCGGGGACTCCATGTACAGCTCCGCGCTCTCGCAGCCGGGCCTGGAGCAAGGGGCCGAAGGCGAGCTAGGGTTGGAGGCTGGGCGGGAGCCGACTGAGACTGAGATCCAGGCCGGAACCGGAACCCCGGCCACACCACCTGCAGGGCAGCGCCCATCCCAGGAGCACAGCCTCAGCACCATCCTCACCACCTCACAGACTCTGCAGGCGGTGCCCCTGGGCCCTGAGGTGGGGCTCCTGCCGGCGCCACCCAGGTACCCCACCCCCGGGACAGAACAGTGGGAGGAGCAGCCTGGCCTCAACTCTGTGTTCCTCAGCCCTGGAAGACTTTTCCTGTAGTAAAATCCAAGTTTAGATGAATAAAAGTATTTCCCAGGATTTATGGATTTGGGACTTACAGGAATACCTGTTTGAGACTGCCTGCATTACCTGAGCATAGTCCATCTGCTTATTTTGAATCCCTGAGAGCCAGTTACTAAACCAAACACCCCTGGGCCTTCCCTTCTTATTCTGCTTGTTTATGAGTAAAGGCAGCAAAGACAAACGTGTACATTAACCCGAGGTGTAATTAGGAAGTTAGGAACCTAATAGAGATTCGAATTCTCCACGGGATCCGTCTGAGTGGTTGCCCTCTCCCAGTGCCACAGGAAATGCCAGCAGCCTGGCTGTAACTTACAGCCTTCTCCCCGGAAGCTGGCCAGGTCTCTTAACACCCTCATACGGGGGTGTTGATAAAGTGACCAGACTGGGCCAGATGTGGAGGTGTACGCCTGTCATCTCACTGCTGTGGGAGCCTGAGGCAGGAGAATTGCCAAGTTTGATCCCAGTGTGGGCAACTCAGCAGTTTAATAAGGCCCTGTCTCAGAGAATGAAAGGGCTAGGGATGCAGCTCAGTGTGAAGGCCCTGGGTTCAACCCCAGTTCTGTACTTGAAAAAGTGACCAGACAAAGCCGATCATTCTGGTTGACGGTGGCCAAGGAGGAAAAGTAGAAGGTGGCTCCTAGGCCTGGGCCTGGAGTCATGCTTGTGACTGGGCAGGACTGCGATCCCCTGCATCATGCGGCACCGCCATGCTGTGCCAATTGTCTGTCCCCCGCTGCCACTGCTGTTTTTCAACTCACTGTCTGTGTCCTCTCTGCAAGGCGTGCTCTGTGTGCACACCATGGCCCCCCGGGAGTGGACGCCCCGGCCACCGCCCCAGAAGCCTCTGCAGCCCCCAGTCAGGTCGGAGCAGGTAACTCTGGCTCAAGCGCCATGCTCTCCTTTCACAGCGGGGCTGGCAGGCTGTCAGCTTCCAGCCTGTCTTCCTCTCTGCGAAGCTCCTCAGGGCTTGGAGGACCTGGCAGAGGTGGGCGTCATGTGAGGTCGGCCACGGGTGTTGTAGGCCCGGCCTTGCAGGCCCAGGGTCCACCGGAGTGTGGGAGAGCTGGACTCCTGTGGAGGGATGGACAGAGCGGGTGGTTCAGCTCCCTCTCCCTAGTCCTGATCTCCGCAGTGTCAGTGTCTCCTATGCCCTACGCAGTACCTGCCAGGTGGCTGCCGCCCGCCCAGGTCAGGCACGCGCAGGCTGTGGTGCTGCCTCTAACCAACAGCTCTCTGCTTTCAGGGCCCAGAGGCTGCCCAGGACCTGTGACCAGCGGGCAGAAGAGCTGTGACCACTCAAGGTAACAGCGCCGCCCACGCTGCTCCTGCTGGGGCTCCAGACAGCGGGACAGCAGCCCCATCCCTGAGCAGCAGCAGGCAGAGGGCGTGCCCCAAACTTCTCCCCAGTGCTGGGGAGGCTGCATTCCGCTCCCCTTGGGGTGCTGTGACACGAGTGCAGGACCGAGCTGCCCAGAACCTGCACTGAGGTCCGTGCCTGCTCCACAGCTGGGCCCACAGCAGGCAGGGCGTGGGAGCAGAGAACGCACACTCTGGGAAGCAGCCCCGCCCACCTGCCCTCCCGCCTGCCCACTCTGCCTCCTGATTCTCTCCGGAAACCCCGCAGCCAGCTGTCCTATAAGGCGGTGGTGGCTTTCCCTCCGCAGGCACCTGCACGGGAGCAGCATCGCGGGAGGGCTGGTGAAGGGGGCCTTGTCCGTTGCCGCCTCTGCATACAAGGCCCTGTTTTCTGGGCCCCCTGTGACTGCACAGGTCAGTACCCGCTCAGCTGCCTGACCCTCGGCTCCAGGGCACCAAGGCCCAGTGGCGGGGCTGTGGGGAGAGCACGGGCCTCGGCGTGCTCTTTGGTTCGCACACAGCCTTGCTCGCTCCTTTCTGGGCGCCTGACTTCAGCCAGGTTCCTCAGCGAGGAGGACGGTGCTCACGTGACTGAGGACCTGCTGCAGAGGCAGAGGCTGTGGGACAGCGCTCAGTGGGCAGGGCAACATGTTGCCGGCCTTGGGGCCCCGGGCAGAAGGAGGGCTCACCAGGAGCACAGTGGGCAGTAGTGGGCAGCACAGAGCCAGTGCGCCCCGCAGGGAGGGTGTGGGTGGTGAGGCTGTCTGCGGAGAGGGTAGAGAAGGGCAGAGATGGATGCTGGGGCCTGGACGTCATGGTAAGGCACAGGGCGATGAAAGGACGGGACTTGACAGGGCCACACTGGCTTAGTGAGCCCCACTGTAGTGTGGAGGCTGATGGAGCCAGTGAAGAGCCATGTGGAGACCCACGGACAGCTGGAGAGGAGGGTTGGAGAAGGCAGTAGAAGAGATGGAAACGCCTGTAACCCTAGGACTCTGAGGCTGAGGCGGGAGGATCGAAAGTTGGAGCCCAGGCTGGGCAACTTAGCAAGACCCCGTCTCAGAGTAGGCAAAGGGCTGGGACAGCTCAGTGCGAAGACCCTGGCTTCAATACTGAATGCTGCACTTAATCAAAACTAATTTTAAAAGAGGGCCTGAGGACATAGCTCAATGATAGTGTGTACCTGGGTTCCATCCCCAGTGCCACAAAGAAAAGAATTCTAGGCTAAAGCCTAAGCTTCTGGCTCCGGCCATGCAGAGGCTGTGCGGGTGGTGTGAGAGACAGGTTCACTGTGGGCAGCGCTGCATGCCAGCCGTACCTGGGTCCACTAAGGATGGCGAGGGTGCAGTGGAGGAGGGTTGCCCTGAGACAGGCAGCCTGATGCTGACATGCGGGTCACAGCAAGAGCCTGTGGGCCAATGGGGTTATCTGGGAAGATGGGGAAGGCCAGAAGCAGCCCTTGTGAATCAGGGAAGAGGACCTTGCACCAGGGACAACGCGTGGGGGTCAGAGTCTGCTGGTTGGGTCCTGCGGGAAGGTCGGACCTGGTGGCAGGGGTCTGCAAGTGCGAGGACAGTGCCCCGAGGCCCAGCAGCCACAGCCCCAGGGCACAGGGCAGCGGCCAGGCCACCTGGCAGAGGGGCGAGGCTGGATGGCAAGGGCTAAGGACAAAGGCGGGGTGTGGGTCAGAGCCTCCTCGAGAGCCCACTCACCCAGGTCAGGATGGCCAGCCGGTCTCCCCGCTCCACGAGGGAGGGTGCCTCAGAGCCCAGCCCTGAAACACAGTGCTTCAGCAAGGCCCTGCCTCAGAATGGAAAGGGATGGGGCTGGGGTCAGAGCAGAGGCCCTGGGTTCCATCCCCAGTGCTGCAAAAAAATTAGATAAGAAATTAAATATTAGGAAGGACGCAGGGAAAGGCAGCCTCCTGCACTGCCAGTGGGCACAATGTTAACTTAGCCACTGTGGAAATGTGTGGGCCGGGGCTGTAGCTCAGTGGCGCAGTGCCTGCCTGGCAAGCGCAGGTCCTCAGTTCGACCCCCATACCCGGAAAAAAAAAGAAGTCGGTGTGGCGGCTCCTCAAAGAGTAAAAGCAGAGCCACTGTTTAATCTGGAGGTCACACTCCTCAGTGTAGACCAGTGGCGGTGAACCTATGGCACCGTGCCTCAGCTGGCACACAGCCCTCTGTCACACGAGTGCCAGCTCGCCCAGCAACTGAGCACTCGGGTTTAATCGCAGGTTTGGCACTTTGCAATAAATAAGTGTTCTGGGTTGCAGTTTGGAGACTGGGTCTCTAGAAGGTTCCCCACCACTGGTGTATGCTAAGAGAAAGTCAGCATAGCAAAGGGAAACCTACACACCCGTGTCTCTCACAGCACAGTAGCCAAGACATGGAATCAGCTAGCGCCCTTCAACAGATAGTGGATAAAGAAAACCTGCGGGATATATCAGTATTTCTCAGCCAAAATAAAAAACCAAAATTTTGGGGCTGGGGATGTAGCTCAGTGGCACCACGCCTGCCTCACAAGTGGAAGGTTGTGAGTTTGATCCCTGGTAACCCCCCAAAAAAACCCCACAAATTTGTCATTTGCAGAAAAATGGGTGGGTCTGGAGATGATCTTACTGAGCAAGTGTCACATGTCCTTCCCAGTATGTGGAATCTGGAAAAGACACGAAAGTAGAGGGGAACTTACTAGACAAGAGAACGGGGGAGAGGGCTTAAGGGTGGGAAATGGGGCGTGAATATGATCAAAACACATACATGATAAATACATACATATATAAATCTGTATCAGAACAAAATCTGAAACTCGGGAGGAGAATCTGCCAAAAATGAAACCCTCTCCATAGAACCAGTACGCCCAGTTGAAAACTTGTGGGGCCAGAGGAGAGGATGATTACTGGAAAAAGATCTCCAGTGTGGAAGGGAGTAGAGACAAAGTGCTGTGTGTGGAAGGATCAGCCTGGGGAAGGGGAGGGAAGGGATCCTGAGGGGCGGGCCTGGAGGGGAGGTGGAGGTATTTGGGGCTGAGGCCGAGCCTGTGTGCCCGCCCTGTGGGCTCCACACATGCCTGTGACCTGGGGCTGGTGACAGATTTAAAGGCCGCGTGGCGCCACAGGGCTTGGCCAGTATGGGCTCCCAAACAGTGTGGTCACTGCTCCCTCATTCTCATGCGTCCCTGCCGCCGCCACCGAGCACAGACTCGGGCCCAGAAGGCACTGAGGCCGGGCTGTGAGCCCGTAGTGGATACCTAGCACTTCCCACACATCTGGGAAGGCTGGTGTGTGCAGGAGATGGGAAAACGAAGCTAGGAACCCTTGAGTCACAGGCAGTGCTGTGTGCTGCTCTGGTCTCTCCACAGCCCATAGTTTCTGAACACCAGACCGCATCCCTGATGGCTCACCTCTTTGAAATGGGTTTCTGCGACCGGGAGCTGAACCTCAGGCTGCTGAAGAAGCACAACTACAACATCCTGCAGGTGGTGACTGAGCTGCTTCAGCTCAGCAACAACGACTGGCACAGCCACCGCTACTGAGGCGGCCTTGTCACCGCCTGCCGCTCCACGTGGTCTTTATTCTGTCCCAGGCTTGGGGGGGAGGCCCGTGCTTGCTTTTTAATCTGATGAATCTCTGGAGCCCTTCATTGAATTTTCAAGACAGTATCTGTTACAGTATTTTTTGAAGCAAATCAAAGACCAGTACTTCACTTTAGGAACTGGACGGCTAGTGGGAAGTCAGTTTTTCAGTTGATTTGGATAAAACACCTCCCTCCATTTTAGTGCATTGAAGAGTGTACCGTGAACTTCTGTAGAACCATTTTTCTTTCTGCTTGTACTGAAGTTGAGTATTTTCCTCTGGTTCATGTGGATGTTTTTAATGGGGATACCTGTTGATTGTCAGTCTTTAAAAGAAATGAGCCTTGGCGTTTGTTCTCACCAATTCTCCTGATTCCTGTGGCCCGCCCCAGGCCTCACAGCCACGTGGTATGGAAAGGGTACAGGGCAGGGCTGTTGCGCTTGCAGAAATCTCCGCTGAAGGGAGGACGGCCAAGCTCCGGCCATCTGAGGGCCTCGGCTCAGAGGTGCCTCAGTAGTGAGCTTGCAGACATTTTTCTTTCATTTAAGAAGAGAAACTTCGTGTGAAATATTTCACTAGTCCTCTAGAGAAGGAAAAACCCACCTATTAAAGGGAAAGGTGAATTTAATAGCTACCTTTTTTGTGAATGTCAGGGACGTTCTTTATAGGAGAGTGGAAAGCAGGAGGGCACCGACATGAATCAGACTGGGGTGGCGGTGAGCGAGTGGGTGGCAAAGCCTGCAGGGCGAGCCCACTGGACAGCTTGTGGTCCACCTGCAGGCGGGAAAGAGCTCGCTCAGGGCCCAGGCCCTCGCTGTTCCCAGGTGAGCCAAGAGGAAACAGACGTGTTCAGGAAAATGACTTCCAGAGAAGGAAAAATCTGAATCCCAGCCCAAAGGGGCAAGGATAGTTAAAATAGTATTATTTAACCTGGATGGTATTTATAACAAGTGGCAATTTTAATTAATCACTAATTGTAATGTTTATTTCCAGTATAACTCTTGAATGCTACTAAATAAACCAGAATTCAGACTGCAAACCAGCCAGGCCCTCCCTCATTTAAAACGCTGCTGCGGGCCTCCGGTGACAGGGCTGATTTCAGGGGGCCCTTGCGTGTGCGGCCGCCCGCCGCTGTACCGCACCTGACGGTCGCCATGTAGAGAAAGGTGAAATAAACGGTCCTTGAGACTTGACCTGGCTGCGGGGGCGGGGCGGGGCGAGGGGCGGGGCTCCGAGTCGGTGCGGACGGCCCGGAGGGCGCCCGTCTCCCGCAGTTTCGGCTACTCGGGCCGCCTTTTCGTCTCCGTCCGCCCGGGGCCGGTGCTCTCGGGGCCTCCGCTGTCTTCCTTCCGGAGTCCCGGCCCAGAGCCTCCTCGACCGACACCGGCACTGTGCGGACCAAGCTAGACCGCGGCCTCGGGGGTCGGGGTAAACCCGCCTTTCCGCTCGGCCCCAGGCTCCTCCCGGCTCGGGAAGCGGAGGGAGCCGATCCCAGCCCTGAACCAGGTGAGGCTCCCTCTGCTTTAGCTGCCAAGATCTGTAAGTGCCCCGGGCGTGGTGGCGCACGCCTGTGATCTCAGCACTCGGAGGGAGAGGCAGGAGGATGCAGCGAGTTGAGGGCAGCCTGGGCTACGTAATGAGTTCAAGGCCACTCTGAACCTCAATAGCGAGACCCTGTGTCAATAAACAACCCAGTCTGTGTGTGGCTCGACTTGCCTGTCTCATTCTGCCATCGCTGGGGCCCTGTGGGGAAGGACAGATTTAGCCCCGACCCTTCCTGGGCAGCGTGGCGGACAAGGCTGCCCCCAGGCTTCCTCCCTACTCCATCTTGGACGCGCGCCCCCCAGCACTGAGACAGGCAGGGCTCTTGGCCACACCTGGGACGCCAGCCTCCTTGGGGAACGAAGCCCTGCCTCCGTTGAACCAGTACCCCAGGCGCAGGTAGGCAGTACCTCCCCCAGGTAGGCAGACCTCAGGCAGCTCTGTCCCCATGTGGAGACCTTCGGAGAAACCACATCCTGCACGCCTGTAATCCCAGTATTCAGGAGGCTGAGGCAGGATTGCCTGGAGTCTGAGTCCAGCCTGAGCTACATAGCAAGATTCTCTCAAAAAAAGAAAACAAAAATCAGAATAATCCCAAGACTGGGGAGGCTGGAGGGACTTTCCAAATGGCTGTCTCTACCCACCTCGATCCAGCTTCCTCCCTCTGAAATGGGCTGGCTTGGGTGGGGTGGGGATCTCAGCCCGTCTGCTTATCACTTTTGGAAGTCTCATGACTTCTGCTTTTGGTTTCCACTTTTTTTTTTTTTGGTACCGGGGATTGAACTCAGGACCTTGCACTTGTGAGCCAGGCACCGGAACCACTGAGCTAAACCCCTGGCCCTTGTTTTATACTTTTGTAGGCACCTTGGGCTCTTCTAGTCCGGAGGGGAGTGGAGGTGCATTAAACTTTCCCCTCCAAGAGTCCCCGGACCACCCAAGCCCTTCCTCTGTGGACAGCCGGGCTGCTGCCCTGCAGTGGGGCTCCCAGGCATGGAGCCCTTAGAGCCAGGCTGCTGCCCACGGTGTGTCTGGGCCTCGCCCTGAGCTGGATTCCTTTCTAGCAGAAAACCCACCCCAGGCACGGGCAAGACGCTTTCCCAGCCTGGCTCCCCAGGACGGGCGGACCGAAGTGCCCTCCTGTCCACCCGCCCAGCCGGCAGCTGCTTCGTGCCTTGTCCTACCTGCCGGGGCAGCGGAGAGATCCCCCGAAGTGAGCGGCGGGGGCCCGCCCAGGTCTGGGTGTGGAGTTAGGACGTCCCCCCCGCCGGCCGCCCACTCACGCTGTTCCTGTCCGCAGAGCTGGAAGAGCAGCTGGTGGCCCTCATCGCCTATGGGGACCAGAGGCTGGAGCCCAGGCACACATAAGCCCCACGCCCATCGCACGGTAACACCCGGCGGCCTCACTGCTGCCTTCTCGTCCTCCCCACGGTCAGCGCTTAGTGGGGTGAACGTCCCAGCTTCCCAGAGGTGTCGAGACTGCTCAGTAGCAGCGTTTGCTTAGAGTGCGTGGGGCTGTGGGTGTCATCCCCAGCACCAGCACAGAATGGAAAGAGAAGCCAGGCGTGGCACAGCCCTGTCATCGCAGCTACTCAGGAGGCTGAGGCAGGGCGGCCTGGGCAACTGAGAGCCGGCCTCCAAAATAAGACAGGTCTGGGGACGCAGCTCGGTGCTCCCAGTGCGCCACCCCCCAGCCGTGGGCACACACATGGCCATGGCCCTTTTCTGCAGTGTGGGCCAGAGTACCTGAGGCACACGGTCCTTCCCAGCCGTCACTGCCCAGGCCTTGCTGTCCCCGGAAGGGAGCTGTGGCCCTGGCTGCAGGGCGTTTGGGCCGGGGGCTTTCCCAGTGCTTCCCTCCTGCCGATCGTGGTGCAGGTCAGACCCGCCGCTCTCTACCCAGCAGAGGCAGAGAACCAGGAGAGTCTACTCTGGGGCCATCCGGAACCTCAAGCAGCCCTGGGTTTCTTGGGGTGCTGGTGACCATGCTCTTGGTCTGGGTTCAGGTGACACAAGGTCCTAGCTTTGGCTTGGAGCCATCGTCCCTCCCACCCCGCACTGCACCGGAATTGGAAGCTGGCACCGCTAAGTCCTGTCCCTGTCCCTCCTCGCATCTGCTCCGAGTTGGATGCGCGGATGGTGCCCCATCCCAAGTGTGAGGCGGCACCGGCATCGGCTGGGCAGGAAGCAGCCGCTCAGGCTGGGGGCAGCAGGCAGAGCCCGCGTCCTCCGCGTCAGGTTTCCCAGCGCCCAGGCCCCTCATGGCTCCCCGGCACTGACCCACAGGAAGCTCTTCCTGTCCCTGGCAGTGCTCGTGTGCCTGGCCACCACCGGCTTCACCACCTTCTTCCTGTTTCCCCGGAGTATCGCCCTGCACCCCGGGGGCCTGAGCTGCTCCTCTGTGGCCTTTGACAAGGGCACCATCCACCTCAATGCCACGGTGAGTGCCCGGCCCGCCCCTCCCAGCCACACTTCCGTGGCCTGTCTGGTGTCACAGCCTTCCGTGTGGCTCGCCAGGGATCTTGTGTCACCCAGGGGACCGTGTGAGCGCCAGGACAGATGGCGAGGGATCGGGACCCTCTGTGGTGTGGAATCAGAGTCCAGGCCGCACGAGCAATGGTGGGGTGAGGTGGGGGTGCCTGCGACTTCCCCCATGCTGGCACAGGGCGGCAAAGCTGTGCAGGCAACACAGGACCCACAACTTCTGAGACTCAGTCTCCCCATGTTGCCCAGGGTGCTCTCAGTCCTGGGCTCAAGTGATCCTCCCGCCTGAGCCTTGGGAGTAGCTGGGACTACAGGCAACATGTGGGCAGCTCCATGTAACTTCTCTTTTCTCTTCTCTCAGTACCAGGGATCAAACCCAGGGCCCTCACACTGAGCTACATCCCCAGTCCTTTTATACCTTGACTGTTTTTTCAGTTTTTTGAGACAAGATCTTGCTCTGTAGCCCAGGTTGGCCTTGACCTCATGGTGACCCTCCTGCCTCAGCCTCCAGAGTGCTAGGATTACAGGAGTGCATCACCACACCCCGCCTGTTTTTGAGACAGGATCCAGGGTGTCCCTAAGTTGCCCAGACTGAGCTTGAACTTGCAGCAATTCTCCTGCCTCAGCCTCCCAGAGTGTTGGAACTATAGGTGTACACCACCATGCACCGCTCAGTGTAACTTTTTCTTTTTTAAGGCAGGGTTTCCCTATGTATCCCAGTCAGGCCTTGAACTTGCAGCAATTCTCCTGCCTCAGCCTCCCGAGTGGCAGGATTACAGGGGTGTGCCATCACACCTGGCCGGAGGGGTCAGTCATGGTGCTGACCCTGTGCGCCTGAGCCCTCCTGGAAGATGGCACCCTGCCTGGCCACTCCCTTCCCGGGATGGTTCACCCCCACCCTGTCCCTTGTCCTCATCCCCAGAGTGTCCTGAACATCTCCAACCCCAACTACTGCCCAGTCACCGTGACCCGGCTGACGGTCTAGGCCCTGCACGTGTCCCTCATGGTGGGTCAGCTCTCCGAGAGCCTCCTGCTGCACATCGGCCCTTTGGCCAGTGACCAGGTGACTGTCCTGGCACCGCCACGGGCTGGGGTGTGTGGTGGGAAGGGTGACCTCGTCCCCCTCCCGACAGATGCTCTATACCGTGGCCACCAGGATCTCAGACAAGACCATGTAGTGAGTCCCTGTTGCACTCCCTCCTGGTTTCCCGTGTGCCCGGCGGGCTCTGCCCCTCTGGTCAGACCACCGCCTGCTGCACTGGGATGGGTGGGATCGAGGCCAGCCGTGGTTAATTTTTTTTTTTTTTTTAGTACCAGGGATCGAACTCAGGACCTTGTGCTTGCGAGGCAGGTGTTGGAACCACTGAGCTAAATCCCTGGCCCCTCTTTCTCTTTTGGTAAAAGCAGTGTTAGTGCCCATCATGGTGGTACAGATCTGTAAACAGTTATACGGGAGGCTGAGGCAGGAGGCTCGAAAGTTTGAGGCCAGCTTGGGCAATTGAGTGGGGCCCTGTCTCATGAAATAAAAAATAAAAGTGGCGCTGGGAGTGTATCTCACGAGGAAGGTTCTCGATGCAATCCCCAGCTTTAAAAAGAACAATAAGCCAGGGGCTAGGGATGTAGCTCAGTGGCCCTGCCCCTTCCAGGCATTCCCAAGGTCCTGAGTTCGATTCCCCCCGTACTCAAAAACAAAACAAAGCACTATGAGAATATATATGCAAATGTAGGTACATCCTCCACATGTGTGCGTGTATGTCTCCACGCTTCTGTCTGCCAGAGGTGGAAGAAAGCAAGCCAGGTGAGGTGGAAATTAAGTAGGGAAGCCCAACATGGGAACGTGAGGGGATTCCTTACTCTCCCTTTTGGTGACAATCTCTTCCTTGCCAGGAATCCGGTGAGGACAGGATGACCAAACCCAGGAGAGCTGGTTCCCTCGGGTCTCGGGGTCCCCTGGTGGCACCCAGGACTGGCTGAGCATCCATCCAACTGCTCACCTGTGCAGCGCCACCA